ACAAAAATAAAAACGACAGTAACAGTCGCTATCTCGTTTTCGCACAAACCGGCTGCCTATGCACTTTGCTAAATTTACTTTTCATAGCTTCATGTGATATTGTTGGAATGAAAATGAACAGGTAAGCTGGGTTTCTACAAATTTTAAAATTTTTTACAAATTTGGTTTTTAAGATTTTATTTCATTTGTCTATGGCTGACAAAGAAGCATAACTAAAAAATTTGAATTGTAAAATGTGAATTTTAGTTAAACTTTTACTTTGAATTTTGCTTTTTTCCGAAATGTTCAGGGTCACTGACAGATTAAAGTAGGATAATTAAATGCATGAGATCTGTCTAATTTAAAAAATTTTGAAACAATAGTTTATCAAACTCAACGATGATAGTAAATATTTGTATTAATTAAGTAAATAGAAACCAAATTAATATTTAACAAGTTAAGACGCGTTAAATATTACACATTAGGAATTGATAAAAAGTATTCAAGTTGTAGTGTAAAGACCGGGCGCCAGTTACGCTTGTGATGTGACTAACGTAACATGGTTTAATAAATAAAAATGATTCAATTTCGGCTACAACTATAATAATTAAAGTAAATTAATTTAATTTATTAAGTAATATTTACTTAATAAATTTTATTTTTTGTTAATCATTCTTACATTGCGTTCAAACAGAATAAATGATATTTGGAACAATGATAAAAGCTTACAGTTCTTGATGTAAAATCATATTAGATTTATTACAATTAAAACTCAAGAATACATTTATTCCTTAATGGTTTGTGTATAGAATAATTTAAGAAGAGGAGGAGATACTAACTATAATGATACTTCGATAAGTTGTAATACGTTAATCCCACATTGAACATTTGATATAAATTCTCTTTAAACGAATGGTTATAGATTATACACTAGAATTGAAAATTACTATAAAGAAAAAAATGTTACTTCATTACTTATTATCTATTGATCTATAAATATGTAATATTCATACTTACTTACTTACTTACTTAGTTGGCCATTATAGACGTGAGTCGTCCTTGGCCGTGTCGAGTAGCCTTCGCCAGTCAGCCCAATTATTTGCTTGCTGTCGCCACTTGGTAGTACCGAGCGCTTCAAATCGTTATTCTCTACCGCGTTTTCCACTTGCGGGTACCTAATCAAATATCTTTCTAGCCGGAGCAGTTTCTTCTATTCGCAAGACATGACCAAGCCAGCGAAGCCGCTGAATTTTTATGCGCTTAACAATGTCAAAGTCGCGGTATAGCTCATATATCTCATCGTTCAATCTAATTCGATACACGTCGCCAACCTATAAGGGACCATAGATCTTCCGAATAATTATTCTCTCGAATGCTTCTAACGCCTTCTCATCACTGTTGGTAATTGTTCAAGCATCTGCACTATACAGCAGTACAGGCATGATAAGAGATTTGTAGAGCGTGATTTTTGCTTGTCAAAAGAGGGCTTTATTTCTCTATTGCCTACTTAGCCCGAAGTAACATCTGTTGTAATACGCATACGTATATGTTTAATTTGAAATGATCGATTTTTTCTACTATTCTTCTCTTTGTTTAGAAAAACAAAACATATTGATATAAATTTAATAATAAATTGTAATTTAAATACCTCTTCCCATATTTTATATCCACGTCAAGTTGTTACTTTCGTTTTTATAGAATTTGGGCGCGACTGAGGAACATATTGCGCCTACATTGCACTTTATTTGACCTTTTGAGTGTGGGGCGTTAAATCGCTGTTTTTATTATCTGCGAAAACGTTCATTTAATAACTTATTGCGATATAAAGCAAATCACTGTTTCTAAATTTTATAACAAGCAATTTCCATTCCAACAAACTCACAAGAATGTAAGTAATAATAAAAAAACATGTAAATATATTGTAATACAAAATCCTTTTTTCGCCAAACTCATTTGCATAATTCAAATCCTTCTGTCAGTATTTCTTATTCAATTTTTTGTTGGCTGTTTTGCGCTAGAATTTCCTAAAATGAATACAAATCTGTTGGAATTACCAAGTAAATAAGTAAGTAAGTCGGTAAGTAAGTCACTTGGTTCTTGTCTTAAACTTAGTTCGGAATATTTTTTGTTTGTGCTCTCGTGTCTCTTCAGTCCACCACAAAGTCTTGTAAATGCAAACAATAAAATTTGCATATCTGATTAATATGAATATATTAGTTTTATTGTTCATGTTGTTGTTGTTGTTGTTGTTATTGCTATGTAGTAATTTCGCACAAAATCCAATAGAACCATTCATTGGCAGCATTGGAATTTACAAAGTCGAAAGCTTCGATTGTATGGCGGCCACCAAACACAAGCGCCACATGCCGCAAGACACCCCCTATTAGCAGTAGGTGATAATATGTCTATAAACGTAGAGGATAAATAAAATTTTATTCAAAAGAATCAAGCAGCGTAGGCAACGTTAGAGTTTGGGTGTAATTTGCATAGATTTTTCGTATCTTGGAGGAGGGGAATTTTTGGGCGAAAGTAATAAAATGGTGGTTTTGTTTGGGTATGTCCAAAGTTAGCTTTGGCAGTGATTTTTGTTGGTTTGTTACTTACGAGTTCAATTAACGTTTCCGTTGATGTGAGAAGAAAGCAAGCAATAAAATAAGAATCCCAACGCAATTGTATCAGTAATAAGATTTGCAAAATATGCTTAAATATTACTTGGACATGGTGACGGAGACGGAGACGGACGCGGATGCGGAGGCGTTTGCCGACAACATAAAAGTAACGAGACTGCAAATATGACTTCAATTTATTGTAAGTCTTAATATCTTTTAAAAAAAATAAGGAAATAACAATTAACTTTAATAAAATCAAATTTGTTAAAGGAGGTTGTCTCAACAGAAAAAAATATGAATAAATAAATTGCAATTATCTTCAACTGTGTAGGAATACAATCTTCAACTGTACATACAATATATCTCTGGTATAATTCCTAATTCAGTCAATTAAATGAATATATATGTATGGCTTATTAATTTTTTAATGAAAAGCCTTAGAATATATTTGCGTAAAATTTGTTAATATTATTATACGAGTGTCTTTAAAGTAAAAATTATAAGATATTATATTAAAACACGTATTAAGGTATGTTGTTTTATTAACCAATATTCAGATATTTTTCTTTGTATGTTACTTATGGCTTATATAAATATGGTACTTGCACTGATAGTAAAAAAAGAATAGTATCTTAGTTAGATCCATCGGCTGCTTTAGTCTATGAAAAACTACACCACGAAAATTCCGGCAAGAAAAAAACAAAATTCTAGTTAGGTCTGTTGTTTTATATACTTGTTGATTTCTGTCAACCTATAGATTGACAGAAATAGAGACATAAACTCCAGATTTTGGGGAGCATATTTGATTTTGCAATACAAATATTAATATATATAGGATAAGATGCAATAATTTCCTGTTGTAGTTGATGAAATGTAATACCTTAATTAAATATATAAGAATGCACAGCTTGTTATATCATAGAAATGGCGGAAAACACATTACTTTGTAAATTTATTAACGGCAACTATCAGAAATCCAGAGAAAAGGATAATCATAATGACTTACGAATAATAGATATTTGATAATAGACAACTGTAAAGAAAAACAAAAAATCGGTAAAAATATTATGAGTATTCTGCAGCAGGTATAAGTCTTTTATTGACAGAAACACTAAGAAAAGCTCTTCAAAGTGCCTTGGTACATCCGCACAAACGACATGCTAAGAGACCTTAGAATAGACCCGATCAAAAAATGCATAAGGGACAGAGCTCTGAAGTTATATACGAAAATTGACAGGCTATCCTACTTACCACTATCTACGCAGATCTTAGACCAATCACTGAATAATCATGTAGCTTATAAGGAATACATAAATTAGTCAATGAGATGGGTGGGACCCTGTAGAACCCCCAGCTATCAAAGAGTAAAAGTGCCCAGTTGTGCTGACTCGAAAAAAAGGATCAACATATTAAGAAAAATAGTAGAAATAAATTTCTTGTTACTAAGTTAAAATTTAATCTTGTCTTTTTTATCTCTATAATAGATGATAAATAATAAATTATTATTAGAGTATGAATTTTTGTATGATATACAAGGTGATTACGATAACCTATATCGACAAACCTATATAGGTTTGCAAATAAAACAACATATTGATTTTTAAGTTCCCTGGTTTTATTGCGGGAAGTTGTAGCCAACATAAGCAGTTTTCTATTTCATTTAAATTATAAAAAGTTGTAGTTCACTAAGAGCGAAATCTATATAATATCGAGTGTTATTACTTAATCATGATGGCTTAAGGCTGAATTAGTTGTCGTAGACATAGCGAACGTAGAAAACGTAAGCGACAGAATGCAATGATAAGTGATAACTTATGACATAAAATAAACATAAAATAACATAAAATAACCTTAAAGCACAAACTATTCAAATTTAAGAGATCACACAAGAAAAAAAGAAATTGCACAATGTCAGTATCAGCTCACGTTTTTCCCCATTTCCTTAATCGAGTTAACTAGTAACCGACACTGGGTGCCCATGTTAAGTTATTTGCCAAGTCGATACCAATTTCGTCTTGCATGGCTAGTTGTCGATCTTACCAAATTCTTTAATATAAATATTAAAATTTATATTTCTGCACTGACGTTCAGATTTTTTGGTTGTACTACAAATAAATAAATTATTTATTATATACAATTTGATGTGATTAATGAGAAATCACGAAACATAAATTAGTAATAAATTAATAATTATTGTTTTGTTCAAGTCCACTACATATATTTCTATATCAAATTAGACAAATTAATATATACTTCCATGTAGCTAGATATAACATATTTATATTTATTTAGAATAAAAGTAGTTTTTCCTCGTATGCGATCAGTAGAGTGGTGTTAAATGTCAGGGTTGTTATATTGTGTCAACAAAACTGATCAGTAAAATTTAGTGCTGGGTGCGTTCAGAAACAATATGAACATGAATTTATTGCTGACAAACACACATATGCATATGCAACAGAAGCGTAAACAACTTTGCTTGAACACATACATAATAAGCAAAGATTCTGTTTATGCGATGGAAATATGGCGTTGGATTGTTGTTTTGATTTAGGGGTTGAAGTAGATTTATTTCAGTTATTTTTGTGGATTCGTTGGAAGTGTTTGTTTATGTCCGCGATCGGTAAAATGCAGTGAAATCTGAGTCCGGAAAAGCCAAATTATTTATACCGGTTATAAAACGGGTTATTTAATTTTTTTATTTTATTGCGATAACAAAACTAATGCGATCATTAGAATGGAACGCCGGAAAGCAAATAATTCATATGCAAATCTTGTCACAAGTGAACAAACTGGCAACGCTTTACACAGATCCACCTCGATGCGCGCGTCTTTTCGTCTGCTGAAAGGAAAACTTAAAAATAATCCCGTAATTCAATCACCATTCAAACTTCAAGGAAACCTAAGCTTGCGTTCTAAAAAATTAATGAGTAAGGCTACAGCTGCTAAATTTCTCGATGACATGGAGGATACGGTCACAGTGATAACGCGCAAATTCAGTGATAAATTGCGTTATGATAAGCAAAATCTCAATAGCACTTACGATAATAACACAGAAATTGAGGAACTAATGTCTACCTTACCAGTCGGGCAAAGTGTGCCGCGTAAAGCCTGTAAAATACTGCAGATACCAGAAACCTATTGTTTAAAGTACTTGACCGAACAACAAATTTTACTCAACAACATCAAAGCAGCACAAGTGCCAACACTAACAAGAACGGCAGTAACACCACCATTAGCAAAAACATCAAATAAAATAGGAGCAACTCAAGAGTTCTACAGCGAAAACAAATTGTCAACAAAGGACGAAACTGCAAATGTGCAAATTACAAATTATGAACACCACACAAGGAGCAACAATGAAGCTTATGAAAACTTCACCAGAACAGCCTCCAGCGGAATTTATGGCACAACCCGTATGAAAACAGCAACCATAAAGAAGCCAACGCCATATCTTAACAGTAGTAGGTGTCAACATTGCTTTGTTAGATGTTTTGAATTAAGTGTCAGTTATGTGTGTAGAGTGTAGAGAGCAGTGTGTAGTGTGTTTGTGTATTATGTATTGTATATAGTTTGAAGTGTGTGGTAATTAAATTGTAGATTGTGTGAGTTACTAACTGCAAAAGATATGAACACGCATTTTTAAAGGATGTCACTACAGAATATCTTGATTAAAGTGACAGTAAAAATGGTATTTCTATTATATTCTATTCTGACATACTGAAATACCACTTTATGTTGAACTTCACTAAACAATATTACTCACAGAGATCATTTTGAAAAGTAGTGAATAGTAGAGTAAGGAGAAGCTCTTGATAGTTGCAGTCTCAAAAAATTACTTACGAATAATTAAGGACGTGTGCGAGTTAGGCTAAGTTACGTTCTAAATGAGGGAAATTCTAAGTTGTGCCGATAATGTAGTGATGTGTCGATACGTGCTGATAAATAGCTAAATGTGTGCAGTGCAAAAAATCCCAAAAAATCTCCCATTTGGTTTAGCATCAACTTAGCCTTACTCGCACACGTCCTAAATATAAGAAATACTTCCAAAATACTACTGATGATTACTATTTGGCAATATTCAAAACAGCTGTACGGTCAGCAAACATTTCAATTATTACAAAATAAAAAAATTTTGTTGTAATTCACTACAGTGAAAAAAAAAACTGTCTATTAAGGACGTGTGCGAGTAAAGCTAAGTTGCGTTCTAAATGAGGGAAATTCTAAATTGTGCAGATAATGTAGTGATGTGTCGATACGTGTTGATAAATGGCTAAATGTGTACAGTGCAAAAAATCTTGAAAAATCTCCCATTTGGTTTAGCATCAACTTAGCCTAACTCGCACACGTCCTAAAACTAGTTTATATTTCTTCAAACAATTTCTTTCTTCATAATTGACATTAATTTCTTATTAGACATAGGATTAATATATTTTTAAGACTAAAATGATTTCTATTCAATTTTATAACATTAAATGTTATTTCTAATTAAGAACTGTCTATCCTATATAAAGAAATCTATTTTGAATAGAAAACGATGTATCGATGAAGTTTTTATTTTTTTAACCAAGCGAATACCTGAGCCGATCATACAGCACTTTCGGGTATCGTCAAATATCTCCATCACTATTACTTTTTGAAAATATCTATGGGCTTAATAGTCCATATATAATTTTTAGACTGTCAGGAAGTGGAAATATCAGAGATTGAATAAAGCTAAATTTCTGTAATACTGGATTCAGACGAGAGTTTTGCTTGTATTTTAGCTGTCAAATATTTTTATTTTGCATTGAAAAAAAACAACAATTGACAGCTAAAATTACAAACAAAACTCTCGTCTGAATCCAGTATAACCCACGAATGCTCATTGACTGAATTAAACTAAAGTGAATGTTATTGATAAAGATAAAACTGTAGCTATTAGAGGTTTCGAAAAGTAGTGAACTACAACAACAAAAATTGTTTTATATTATTTTAATGAATTGAATTATTGTCTGAATATACAGCTGTTTCGAGTATTGCTAAATACTCGTCACCAGTGATCTTGGAAATATTTCTTGTGTTTAATTATTCTTAACTAATTTTTTGAGATTGCAAGTACTAGGGTTTGAACTTGTACTAAAATTATTTTACTTATCATTTTACTAAGTAATGGAACACGTCTGATTAATTCAATAATGTTTAAAATTATACAAAAATTTATATATTTAGTACTTTATGTAAATTTTTGTATAATTTTAAATATTATTGAATTAATCAGACATATTATATTACTTAGTAAAATGATAAGTTTTATGTATATTTATTTTATGAAATTTATGTTTCCGTGCTACAGATATTTCGGATCCCACTGATAGTACATTGTCTGCTATTAGCGTTTGGCTTCTCATTCAGCTTCTGAATAGTCCTCAAAGAGTCTTAGATTTGTAAAAAATGATTGGGTTTTTGGAATGATTTAGCTGCTTTCGCTATTGCTAGGGAGTATTGGTAGTCGTAATAACCTGACTTAACAAAGCTTCAAATTTGATCATCTAATAGGTGCTTGATAAAACATTAACTGATTTATATTATATTATTTTAAAAAGAGTAAATATTAAGCAATATGTTATATGTATTTATAAATTTTACAACTTTACCATAGAACAATTGAAATTTTTATATTTTTAGTTGTTCAAAAATTTTTCTTAAATACTTTTTATTTAGTAAATGAAGATAATCAATATTGTATAAATTGTAAGATAGTTCTTAGGATTTATAATTATGGGACAAATTTAAACGGCAAAGATATTTAAAACATTCAAAAATCCGTTTAAACAACTGTTGCTTACGTTAGGTAAAAGTTCTGCCCAATTATCAAAGGAGTTGTAAAGAACTTCCGTTCCTTGTCCATATTTAAGAAGCATCTTAATTCGATCTTAAATTTGTTGACAAAGATTAGTAAGCTATCTTCATTTTGCGTTTATATAAACTTGAAGTTGAAAATGCAGAAAATTTTTAAAACAAGTGATGCAAACATTCCTCTTCTTGCAATTTCCAAAAATTTCTGGATACATTAGACAATGTTCCATTCAAATTAAGAGCTCAATCTTATATCATAATATAGTATATTTAAAGCAATATATTTGTTATTATGTTGAAGCTATTTGAGCCAGTGCACTTGAGCACTTTTACTCTTTCTTACCTCGAGGTATTTTCAAAACCCCTTTTTACGCCTTGACTGGATAAATAATAGTTTATCAATTCATCAGACTAAGCAATAATTGATCTCAGATCTGCATACCTTCCCGAAGAGCCTGTAACCATTCTGAGATGTGATAACACGGTGTTGGTAAGTCTGTCAGTTTTTGCAAATAATTTCAGGGCTCTATCCTTTATGTATTTTTTGATCGGATCAATCTTGTGGTCCCTGAGGATGTCATTCGTCCTAATGTAGCACAGATAATCGTTTGTTTGTTAACAATTTTATTCGTTATTAAAGGTGTTGAAATGTAAACAATAAAATATTTAATATTGTCATTCTAAATCATTGAAATATAATATAAAAACTATAATATATTACAATGTCTTTTTATTATCAAAATCTAAAAGACAATTATTTATCTCGTCTTAGATATACATATGTATGTATAGATTTTCCATAAAATTATTTATTATTTTTATAAGTAAATGAATAAGTGTATGAATTTAATTATATTTTATTTAATTTTGTTACGTTGTAAATTTTTTTTTATACAACCACATTTATATTAAAACTACTTTGTTGTGAAACTGTTCTAAATAGAGCTTCATTCATTCTTTAAAATAATAATCACATTTTAACTTCTCTATCTGAGTGCGATGAGGCTCTATGTTCAATGAACCATTGCTGACAGAATTACATTAATATATACATCTAAGTGCGAAATTTTGTAATAAATTTCAACAAAAAGAAAATTAAATCATTAGATTTTATAAATTAAATTTAAATTTTTATATGTTTACAGTACAAAATCAGTATTAAGGATTTGTTCTATTACAAAAGTTAACTATTTGCAACTTATAACTCATGCAGTATATTTTTATATATGACCTACCCAATTAGCATATTTGATAATAACTTTTGACACTTCCCAATTTTAAAAATAATTTACAGGTGTTATAATAATGATCCAAATACCCATAAAAACCTGCAGCTTAGCAGTTGTCTGCGGTCACCAGGCGTTTTTATGCGTCAAAAATCGTTTCACACATTAAATGAGTTGACAAAATTGTGTCCATTAAAACATGGTAATTCCAATCTAAGATACACTGTTGATGGTAAGAACCGTTTTTAACTACAATACGATTGCGTTCCCTTCCTTATTCGCTTATTATATACAATATATTACATATTTGCCATACCAGAAAAGAAAATCCTCATGAGAAACAATTAATACCATCATCAACTTCATGGATAATGGAATATTGCATATTATAATAAACTGATGTTCATTTGAATAATTTGAATAAAGGGTTTTCATACACACATTTGTACAATAATATATATCAGTGATTATATATGCTAAGATGTATATCATTTAACAATTGGATTGGATTTACAATTATTTACTCATTTTTCTTAATTTACAATATGGTTTGGTCTTATATTGAAAGCTCGTTTTTAATTCATTTAATTAATAATTGTTTTTTATTACTTAAATTTTAATAAATTAATTTTATTAATTTTTTTTTTTTTAATTTTAAAGATAACATTTTACCAACAGGTTCAAATCAGTGCAATTCCACTTTAAAGTCAGTGCACACCTCATTCTATGATGATGACGATTCGTTAAACGATAACACTGTCATTCTAAGAAAACCATCATTTAATCGTAGAAATTTAAATAGTATTAGAAAGCACAGTAACAATACAATTAATACGAATAATCTTAATGACTGTAATCACCAATATCATTTAGCTGAAAGGCAGCAACTGCAACAGCAGCAGCATCAATCTCATCAAATCGAGAATAATAATTTTCGTTGGTCAGAACAATTAACTCAAAATGTAGCAGTAGCTAAAATTCGTACTGCCATATCGTGCACTTCACAAGATTTAAAAGAAATGGAATTTCTGTTACCACCAACCTCACTAGGATCAACTGCCACAGCTGTAACGCTGCCACCAATTTCAAGTACAAATAAAACTAATCTAACAACATCATCGTCATTAACAACGTCCTCATCCACTACGGTTCCATCCACGACATCGTCGACTTTAACCATTTCACGACATTCACGTGAGATGATCAATCACAATAACATCATTAACATGTCACATCCAAAGAATGCCAAGATGCACAGCTATGCCGACGTGGAGAACAATGCAGCAAATGCACAAAATTTGGCAATATATCGTCAACCGGCAAATGTACGTGCCAAGGGTGGCAACACACCTCACCGCAATAAAATGTCAAAGAAGCAATTAAAGTTAGCACAAGCACAGTTGGACAAATTGACCCAGATCAATTTACATCAACATGGTAGGAGTCAAAGTTGATGTAACATATGCTCTCCATTTTTTACGACTATTTGCTTTTACTTCAATAATTAACATTAGAAATAAATTCAAAAATACTAAAAATTTATTTCGTTTAATGTAGAAACTTGTGCCCCACTTATATTACTAACAAATCATAATAGATTAATTTTGAACTCCTCCTACTTACTTGTGAACACTAATTAAAATCATAAACATTTTTATTCCCACTTCAATTAAAATTTAGCTTTATTTTCGGCAATCGAACATGGCCATTTGGATAAGGCACGGACCATACTCGAATCGACCGATGTGGATGTCAATAGGTCAGTGCGAAGAAAAAAATAAAATTTTTATTGCTATAAATTTTTGATTGGCATATGTCTAACAAATGTCTGTCACAATAAGAATCAAATATGTTTTATTAAATTCTTACCACTCTGCATATTTATAGTATCAATACGGATGGTCTGTCCGCATTGGATGTCGCTGTACTGAGTAATAATCGCTCAATGACTAAAATGCTATTGCAACATGGTGCTGTGGAAAGTTCACACTGTAAGTAAACATTATAATTATACCTGTATTTAATTTTTAATTTTTTGTATACATTTTATATACATACATTAAAAGTAAATTGCAAAGTAATAAAAAATAACAACGCAACTCTTTATTTGTGACATTTTAAACATTGAAAATATCTATACAGAAACTCTCTACAGACATTTTATATAAAATTATTTTTTATTATATTCTACACTTTTTATTGTTTTTTTTAAGTGCTGTTAGCCGGCACTTTTTTATTTATTGTGCTACATGCTGGTATGAACATAAATGTGGTCAAAAGGCAGAATGGCAATAAAACAGAATTTAATATTTAAAACAAAACGTTTTAAATATGTAAACAATATTAATTTTGTTATAAAAATTGGTTCCGTGTGACAAGCGCATGTGTTATATCTACATAGTTTCCTTGGATATGCCCATCCATATGATATGAATGCAAATTAGTGCAATTTACTTTTATTGTATGAATTAATAGTGTTAGTAAACGATGTCAAAGATTTTTTATTTCACTTATAATTGATGTTATTGTATTAAAAATGGATCATCAAACTATTCATTTAAATTTTCTTCTTTTGATCGTGCTTTTGTCACATTTTTTTTAAGAAAACTGCAAATTATGTTATCTGCTAAACATATTACAAAACTCTTATCCAAAATCAAAATCCAACTATTAGCAACTGCTAGTGGGAGATAAAGCACTTTTTAGTTTAATTAAATAGATCCGTGCTGATCTGCTTTCGTTGTTGGCATCAAATATAATTATTCTTTGAGAATTATGAACTCTTAATCAATATTCTCCTTTATTTCAAGAACCACAATGATAATTTAATGTAGTCTTAAGCTATTTCAGTAGCAAGACCAAATTGAGTGATCTTTTAAGCTGAATAACCTGATCGATCAAACCAAGTTCTATTCCATATATTTTCACCTGATCGTTGATACTTTGTTTGCAATTATTTCTATTTATTTTATTATAATTCCATAGTCCTGGACTACAGGACTTTCCGATGAGTATCGTTTCTACAATTTGTGCTGAAATTTATTAAATAGAATGAATTAAATCTTTAATAATGTAATTCGTATAAAATCTACTTTACGCTGTTTAATTAAAGAATAAAAATATATCAAAGAATTAATGAAAAAATATTTCATTCTCCTATAACGTGTGCAATATTGTCTTTGTGTAAATTGTTAATTGAAATTTATTTGTTATTGATTGAAGGTTTAGCTGATAACATCGGTAGCAAGTTGAATAGTTTGCTTAAAGATGCCGAATCACGCATACATGACTTAAGCGGTTCAGAGGGACAACCAATCCAGCCAACATTCACTTCTCGACCCTCCATCTCCAGCATAATAATTGGTAAGTATTGACATAAACTCAACCATTTACCATCTACGCGCTTAACGCACGCAATTATCAAGTGAAGCGTAAGGATGACGCTGTAATAGTTAATTAAAACAATCAACCTACCAGCTACACTCAACCTACAAGCTATGGTATTTGCTTGCACCACTTCAGTTCAGTTGCGAAGCTCAATTGAAAGAACTTTCAACTCTCCATTATTAAACAATTTTCATGTCAATCTTTTATTTGCATCATCATGCAGGCAACACTGGTTCATCTGTGACGGGTTGTACAGGGAATGAAATTGATAAACAAATTGGTATATGGGAGCGAAGAGTAAAGGGTTTGCGTCGCATGTTGCTTGGTTGGGATCAAGCACGACCCCCAGATGCACCCGCTTCAGTAACAGTAGATGTCATAGCTGAGAATGCTGTTGCAGTGCAAATACTCGAACCCTTCGAAGGCGCTATTGGTACAAAATTCAAAGGTAAACAATGGCAAAGTGTGCCAATCAGACAAACATTGTGCAAAGTTAACACAAAGCCACAAGCCACAGGCCACTTGACCAGAGTACACAAACAAAATGTTATTGTTCGCTCTGCCGGCAGCAATTGACATTCTCAATATAATTGCATTTATGGTCGATGGCTGGCTATGTTTACTTTGGATAGGATAGTTTCTGATTTTTACTTGTCTTGGTTTTGAATTAAATATTTACTTTGTCATTTTAACATGCCATTTTTTTCCACCTGGTTACAGTTCAATGGTCGACGCGTGCTGATTTCAGTAATGTGGTTGGTGAACGTGAAATAATGGACTGGACAAGCTTTCACGGTACTATGGGTGCGCACTGTCAAATTGTGGGCTTAACACAAGGGCGTCGTTACTTTATACGTTGTGCCTGTGGTAATGTCAAGGGTTGGGGTGCTTATAAGTTCTCAGTACCAAGCAGTGTGGTGCCGTCAAGTAAGAAGTTTTCTTTTCTTTTTTTTTTTTGTTTGTTTTGTTATTGCAATGAATATACATTTGATGGTTGCTATGATTTTGTTTGTTCAGGTTGGCGAGATTTAAATAATTGTGAAGACCGTTATTTAGGACGTCAACGTGCATTAGACAATTTATTCACAGCAGTACGATTGGCAAGGCCCGCAGATGTATCGGAATTAACATTAGAGTCTACAACAGCACAAAGACGAAATCCAAAAAAGAAAACAACAATAAAACAACTATTTTCTGTTGCATCGAAATTTCAAAAAACTCTTAGGCGGTAAGTTTAACCACATATACGTATATACGTTTGAGTAGCAAATATATATATTTATATACATAGTATATATATAATTCGATAATTAATATTGGTGTATACAACTGGTTTATATAGTTGCGTTATGATGGTAGATATATCTTGAATGTATAATCTTACATATTGAATCTTTTATATATGGTTTTAAAACGTATACAATAAACGCTGTATACATATGCATAAGTAAACACAAAGAATTCTTTTTCTTTTTTTTTTTTTGTCGAAATTATAACGGTATCACCTATTGCTTCAAGCGATCAAGTATCGAACACCTCACCCAATGAGGTGATTAACAACTACAATAAGCAATATGTAGAAATTTTATTTTGCATTTTTCTCGCATAGAAAGAATGGTAAGGTTTTTTATACCTGCCTTTGAGGCAGGTATAGCCTCAAACGCATGTCACAAACGCAAGCGTTGATGATATTCTCCAATGAACTACAAAACTATAATTTGCCAGAGAATTCTTATAACTTTTTCGTTTCCAATCCAATTAAAATTGTCCTATATAAATTTCTATATATAAATTGTTCCTTTTTTATAGATTTAATTTGTATAATTTTTTTTATTTCTTTTAGTGGTATCTACTTAGCTTGCATTATTTACTGCGAGGATAAAATATTGGTGACTAGTGAAGACTTCCTGCCTGCAATAGAAATTGATGAGACCTATCCCGCCACATTGCACAGTGATTACCACTGGTTAATGAAAGTACGTTTGTTACATATATAAAAAATTTTTTCCTTTCTTATAAAATGTATCTTTATTCCATTCTTAGGTTGCTTGCACTTGGGATGATGTTAAGTTACTACGTACTGATATGGAACGCAATCTTACCTCGGCAGTGCACTTCCGTACAAAACTGCTTGCAGCGGTGTGTCAAATGCAATCTGCACTTAATTTAACTGACCTTGGTCAATTGTATTATAAACCCTTAAGAGATGCTCATGGTACTGTAGTTCTAACATGTATACAGTCTGTCAAAAATCAAAAAGCTGTTTCCATTTTAAACTCTCGTTGGTTGCCTGTTAATAAATTACAGAAGAAAATCATTGCTTTACTAGAAGACTACAATATTAATGAAATGTTAATATCTTCCATTGGGGAACAAATCCAATATCATAGCACGTCCACAGAGCGTTTGACATCTGGTTTATATTTGGGATATTTAAAAATGCAATGTTCTGTAGAGCAAATACAAGTTGTGGTACCACTTAAAACTCCGAATGTGTTACCACATTACAAGGTACGTGATAATAGTCATATAACAGCAGATGAATGGCAAATACTTAAACGTGGTGATGATAAATCCATGGGACGTAGTAGCCCTTTAAGGCTGACACTTGAGTTTAATGCTAATACTGAAGATACTACAGAGGAACAACGACTTTTTCTTTATGACCTAACAACAGCTGCTCATAAATTATTCACATATATGAATATAAAGCCAGAAGACGCTGCTACTCATCGTCTGTATGATGTCGAAGTTATAGAACATAGTAAAGATATTAGCTTTTTAGTTATATGTCCTGCTGTTGAATTAACATGTGCTGCACCAGGTCAACAAGAACATCTACTACAACGTGACGACTTAGTTTCGTTGAGCATACAAGCTTTTGAAATGATACATTTGCGAACTTATCAGCCAGGAATTATACAAAAATATGCTCGGCTTTCCTGTATACTTGAATTGGATACAGTATTGGCTAATCATTCACATAGGGAAGCTTTTTCAACTAGCGAGTTACAAACCGCAAAGGAGCGTTTGGCCAAATTGCAAGAGCTAACATCTAATTTAAATGCAGTCTGGAAAAGTGTGCGTTGGCTTATGGATGTGATCGCATTTGCACGTGATAAAAATGCACATCCGTCAATGGCTATGAGAGATATATTAGATTTTGCAAGTGTAGCAGAAGAAATGAGTACTTCAGCGAGTAAACCTCAATTATTGCAACTACCAATACGTGATGTTAAATTTACTAAAAGTGGTTCAGGACGTGGAAGTTGGCCTGGACCATCTGGTAATTCGCAAAGTGGCAGTACATCAAACCTTGTTGCTGAGCATTCTAAGTCCGAACAGAATTTGGGCATAAGTCCACTTACACCTACTACAACTATAAATTCAGTGCATATACAAAAACACAACAACAACAATAAAACAAATCAACAGCAATTGCAAGTGAACGATTTTACTGTATCTGATGTGTCACTAAGAAAAAATAGTGGAGATTCTGTTAATTCTCAGTATACTACCACACGTAGTTTTTATTCGGCGGCAGATTCCACCATAAGTAGCAATAATGAGCTAGGCACAGTATTTGCTATACCTCCCTCGCGGTCCGATGACACACTTGCGCTAGCTGCGGCTGAAAATTTAAAGCAAACTCATTCATCGCTCACCCATCGCAAACGTACCAGCTCTAATATAACATATACTAGTACACCCACGCCGTTAATTACGGTACATAATTCAAGCTCAGCGCCTTATTTATCACGTGATTCTGCCACGGGTTCCAGCCTTTCATTGAAAAGCGTATTTAGCGCTGAATATGAAGGCAAAACGGTAACAAATAAATTGAAAAGCGACCCCTCAACAGTTAGCAAAATAAAGGCAGTATCAAGTGCAAATTTGCAGGAAGGAGGTCTTTACCTTAAGTCTACACTATCTGCATTACAGACTGAAATTAAAGAAAACACTAATGCAACAACAATGACAACGACAACGACAACCACGAGCAGCACTAAGTCTATATCACGTCAAAGCAGCGATGAGGACAATGCAAGTTGCTCGAGCCTAAACACCGATCAAAATTCCCAAAGTAATTCGGGTATAATACAAGTCTACACCGCCTACAATACGGGCTTGGCAAGTGGAACTAGTCTAAAATTACATGTGACACCGAAAACTTCAGCACGTGAGGTTATAAACCTTGTTGTCAAGCAATTAAATATGGCTGCCGTGCTGAAAGGCAACAACGGACCCATTTATACAACTGAAATGCTTGATAACTTTTGTTTAGTGGCAGTGATTGGTGCTAGAGAAAGATGTTTGCGGGACGATTTTAAACCATTACAACTACAAAATCCATGGAAGAAAGGACGTTTATATGTGCGACAAAAACATGAGCTGCTGGCAGCTATTGAACATTCAAATCGTAAATCACACTTAATTTAGATGTCTTTGACTAGATTATGGCTAGATTGTGATTGTGGTAAAATGGTGTTAAGTTGCCGCATTTTTTATATTGGCCGATTTCCATGTTAAGATACAATATGTAGTTACATCGTCGTAGCAAATTATAGTGTGTATTGTGGTTATAAAATAAATTGTTAAGTAAGCTTGGCATTTAGTAAACAAGAACTTAGAACCCATCGAAGTATTATATCAAATAGATAAATTTAGGGTGCTGTCAAATTAGTCTTTAGACTAAGGAAATTTATACGAGTAAGCGGCAATATCTATTATGTACTCCATCTTAAGTGAAATGAAGGCTTTAGATTGTATAAAGATATAAAACTTTGTTCTGTTATTAGAGAGATACCTAGTTATAGTACTGCAATATGCGTCCAAAAGTAATTGCTTTATTTTACATTATAAAACATTTGTGCATATATCCATATATATATTTTTAAAATATATAACTAGTTTGTATACAAATATTATAAACGTTTTTATATAATTTCTAAATTTTGAATGCATTGAATTATGTAAGTACCCTACGTTATAGACGACCAATTCCAAAATTAGACTGAGTAATTTTTTAAAAAGACAAAATAGTTATTCGTTTGTATTTTAGTGTAAATTGCTTTATATATATGTATGTATATCATCAAAAGTACTGTAGCCAGTTGATGTGATCTGAATGTATGTATATAGAAGGAGTAATAAGCAAGGATGTACATGTTCTAACATGTTAGAAACAAGTTCAATTCAAATACTTTATAAAGGACAAATTTAAACTAAACAAACCAATGTCATAATCCTGAATGTTGTTAAATTTAAGATTTTGATGTATTTACTTGATGTTTTATGTGTATTTAATTTTATAAATACGAATATATATACTAAATGTGTGTAAATAAAATATAAAGATAAATGTAGAATTATATGTGAACAAATTTAAAATTATTTGATATAATAATTATGCATTTTATTTTCGAATTTATTATAATTTTTAGGTTTTTTGGTTTTATATTGTATAAATTGCACTGTTAAAAGTACTCATACAATTACTTGAATATTGTAATTAAGCCATATTATTGATATTGTATTTTTAAAAAAATGTATTTTCGATCATTTATAGTTAAAAATATATTTATATACAAAGTGTGTATATATCTAAATTAAATTAATTGAAAGAAAGATTAAAAAGATTGAAATTATTAATCTATGACAATGCAATGAAATTTAATTGTAATTACAATAAGAGGAATTGAATTACAAGTTAATTTACGGGTAATAATATTATTAAAATTTAATAAATAACGAAAATATTATAAATATTATATTATAAAAATTATATGAAAAATTGTTGTAATAATATTAGTTTTAGTTTTAGTTAAAGTAAAGTTATTACATTTCTCTTAAAGGAGTTCAATTTCTAAATGTCTGTGTCGATGTCTTAGTAAATAAAAAAGAACTAAACTATTTATATAGTATTTATATACTCAAGGACTTCAATGAATCTGTTTCAAATTTATGTTCAGATAAAGATACTCGGTTAAGAAATCGGGGTAGTTAATATACAATATTCAATTATATATAAGCAAGGTTTATGATAATATAGATCATAAAAAAAACATTGCTTAGTGCAGATACTAGAAATAAATGTCATTGAATACATTGAACTAGTACAGATTATAAAATAGTTATGTGAGGATTTAGTTCTGATATAGTTAATGAACTTAGACCAATTTGAACAGTTCAAAGACATAAAATTCTATTAGCAAAAAATACATCCAAACAATCTTAACTTATGTATTCTATTTAACAGATTTTTGAAGTCCAATATGTCAAAATGTCAAAGAATCTTAAAAAATATTAATAAGTTTATAAATGTTATGTGTTTTAATATGTAGGGACCATTTTCCAAAATTTTCTAAGTGTGTGTGATTAGTATAAATATTTAATATATATAAAATAATCATAGTATGTTTTTTTTTTTGCTAACCACTGTACTTTTACCTTCTATGCACATTTTCTTTATCCCTCTCTCTCGTTCTCACTCACAAACACTTTGTTTACAAGAATTAATTAATATATTAAAATATAAGTATTAACTTTTAAGTCTTTTAGCTGTATTATTTTCCACTTCAAGCTTTTATTATAAAATAATATATCTAAAGCTCACATTTTCCGTGTTTCAGTATTTGGTTTCTGGCTATAAATACCCTATAATACTGTTACTGTTGCTCATGAAGTCTTAACTCAGTTAGTTAGTGTTTATAATGAAATGCGGTTTAAAAGTCTTATGATAATAAAAATTATAAATGTAAAAAATGTTACTAAAAATTACTTTAATTGAAATTTGAAGAGAACAAAAACATGTAAACTGATAAAAATGCTTTAATGTTCCATCCAAAATGTATATTCATTTAATGAATTCAATCAATCGACACATTTTTGTATGCCTTAAGAACAATTATTTAAAAATATTCCTATATACAAAAACAAAAAATATGGTATTATCAAATTAAATATGTAGAAATATGAAATAGAAAATGTTTTCAATTTTTATTTATTTATTGTAATGATATTCCTTTATAGTAAATCCCATTACTTTGTTTTTTTTTTTTATTTGTTGGATAAAATAAGTAGTTAAAACAACAACGAATGTTAGACTTAAAAAAAAAAACTTTAAATTTGCCAAAATAATAACAATAAAATAGTATATATGAAATAGTTTGTAGAAGTTTAAGGTTTCCATAGAAATCAAACATTTCAAGCCACCTTATAAACATACGATCTCTACGAAAATGTTTCTTTTAATACCTTCAGTATTCATAGTACAGTTAAGTAGCACTTTTTGGTGTTCCGTGTTTTTAGTATATTTAGCTAGCACATTATTTATTAAATTTTCTTTAAAATAAGAAAATATTTACTATTTAGCCAATTTTGAAAAGTCATTTATATCATTTTAAATATTTAACTTACTTATTAACCGAAGGATGTGCGGATATGGTCTGGGTTAGAGAGACAATGCTAAACTCGTTTTATATTTGATATTAAGAATGCCTCGATATGAAACATTGAATTTTCTAAGCACTTCTGTTTGCTTAGTGCTAGTTGTTTCCCGATAAAATTTACTATACCAATATATTTTTTAAATATTTGGGTAGTTGTCAATCATGTGATTGCAGTTAGAGGTTTATTAAAATGGATTTTCAGTAATCCAGAAGTTAGGAGTAGCTGTCGTGTTTTATTTGCAAGTTGACATAATTATTATTATGATCTGTTGTGATAATTCAATGAATTCAACTAGAAATTCAATCCAACTCTGACTGCAAATACCGTAGGGAAGAGAGAGAAACTACATACCATATGCTTGGGGAGTGCCCAGCGTTAATGCACAAGCGGAAGAAATACGTAGGATGGTATATCATGGATCATAAGGATCCAAGAATAGGAAAGATAGACTCTATATTGTCTTTCATTGAAGAGATCGGACTTGGAGAAACAAACTAATTCGACTAAGGGGGACAACAATAGATCTTTTAGATCGCAGTGCACTATCCCTTCTTTTTCAATAATAATTGTGATAACTTGCTACTGCCAATAAGAACTCATCCAATTCTCAGAGTTCATTTAGCCATTTAGATGATGTTACGAATTGTAGTTATTTTGTTATAGCTACCATGATAACATATTAAATATCTTCAAGATGATAGTATTCGAATATGGTCATTATTAATGGTTATACGTTGGATAGCAATAGAGAAACTATTTAATAGTTTCTTCTTTCTTTTAATATACCATATTTATCTCTGCAGCAGTTGTTTCTGTGACCCATAACAATATAAATTAAATTTTTTAATATATTGTGTAATAATTTTGTCCGATATTTTCGAGATGTACTTAGTAATATAAGTATAATAACAGGATGAAATTTTCATATAAACTATATATTTTGAGGTATTTTCTTGTATATAATAATTTGCTACCAATAGCATACATATTGAATTATATTGTTAATTCAATAAATCAAATATTATAAACATTCCTTTTAATTTATTGACAATTCTTTTTATAGTTTAAAAATAAATTTCGGTTTTGGAGAGCTACGGTTAGAACAAAACATTGAATTACCAATCGGCAGTATCCAACAATCCAAATTAATATAGCATTTGTACTATGTACTTTCATTTCAAACAATATATAAATTTATGAATTTATAAATTTCAACATTAATTACAATAATTAAAATCTCAATATTATAGAAACAAATATTAGTTGTGTTATAGAAGGGCTCTTCCTTTTGTGTGTGTATTTTGGAAACAACTTCTACAAACTAGCAACAAATTACTAATAATTCTATATACTAGTGCATAATAATGTTCCTTGTGGAATGAGAAGAATGGTTAGTAAAGTCGGAAAAAATTAGTTAATATACGAGTATTATTTATTATGTGTTTTACTTACGATGGGTTTGTGCAACCAGCGAACCATCCGTCCCGAAAAGCAAGAAATCTGAAAATATATTAGCGTAGAGAATAAAAAGTAATGATAGATGTAAAGATGTTTTAATGATGTGTTGTTCAGTATAATTAAGTTCGTAAAATAAAAAAAAAATTTTACTATAAGTTTTATATGTATGGTATTTTGTTTAAATATTTATTTTATGTTAAAAATGTTTGAAGAATTATTAAAATTTAGCTCAAGAATACGTGTACACAAATTGTCATTACTGAAGTAGTGAAATGATTGTATTTTCAAATATGTAAAAATTTTTAAATAAACGAATAAAATTTCAAATATCTGTTAAAATAAATTGCGAACTTTATTTAAAAACAATATTTCACTTGTTTTGAAACAAAAATTAATAAATAATTAAGTTTCGTCAATTTTAAAAAAATCGAATGGGGCTTTGCAATTACTGGTAATGAACTGTGTATAGTGCAACGTCTCTCAACGTCTCTCTAAGTAGTTCCATCTGGAAGCGAATGATATTATTATATATCTTTGGATAATAATAATGAAATAAGTTATTAAAAAATCAAATTTATTTTATTTATATTTATATTATATATATTATAATATTTACTTCCGAAAACTGACATATATTCAATATTTCTTCATTTTAGAGTTACTAGTTTGATCTAGTAAAGAGTTGTTCGCCAGACAACAGGCGAACAACTCTTAATCGATTTGGTATTATAGACATAGATTACATAGTATTAGGACTATGCTTCCTATTACTAAAAGTGTGTAGAGTGTAAAATTGTGTATTTAAAATGATCGAAATATGTTTTAAAAAATAGATAATTAAAAAACAAAATGAAATTTTTATCAGTACTTGTAACACTCTGCATCCTTAGGTTTCTAGAACATTCTGTGTTATAATGTTTAGATTATTAAGACTAATTATATGATTGACAGCATGATGAAGCTAATTTGGTTTACAATTGAATTAAATTTTGAGATAAATTTTATTTCACAATTGAATGAAAGAAATCGCATGTAATTAAAGCTTAAATTTTCTGTAATTGACTAGACTGCATACACTACGTTAGACAATAAAATTCATCAAATTTACAATTTACAATGCTTTTTCGACATGTAATGAACGCTGTAAATAAGATAGTTAGGTTAGGTATTGTCGGCTATCTCTGGGGGATCCACCTAGACCTATAGGCCCATTGTGCTAGAATAAGATAGTTCAAAATATAAATTTTAATTTGTATATTATAATAGAACTATAGAGAAAGGCAAAATCATCATTTCTATGTATATTTAATATTAGTTGAATTCATTAAAATTTGTGATATATTCATGACTCAAAAAACATATCATTATATTAAAGATTTAGAGCAAGCTGCTCACCTTCCAACACAGCAGCTTATAAACCACTTAGTTGTATTTGTAGTAGCATATGTTTGTCCTCTGAAGAGAAAAATAACTCGCGACGTAGACCTGGATGTTTTTGGGGCCTACTCGCAACACTCACTCCAGTATAATAAAAACAGCAACTGTTTGTTGTGAAAGAGTAAAAGAAAGAAGCAATAATTACTTTTGTCTGTCTTTTTAGGTATTAAATGCAATGTGCCTAAGCATTCACTCATTCGAAATTTATTCGCGTTGTTTATTAGTCACAACAAATAGTCACTTCTTATGTATTTTAATTTAGATTAAATTTACATTAGAACACAGCAGTTCTTAAGTCGATTTCTTGAAAACCACAAATGGTTACCTTGAAAATAAAAATTTAGGATTTTCGTTAATAATTATACACATAAAATAGTTAAAAGCAAACTGTACATTATTGCTTCTTAAAGCAAAATATATATTCGAGTAATCATTGATGTTTATGATCAAAACGAGTCTTACAAACCCAAATATCTCTACCATTACTTCTTCTTGTAATATTTCTCAAATAATTATAAAAGGTATATGCTATGTCTAGTATAGTGTCATTTGCTTAAGGAACACATACTAGTATCTTATCTTAACGGAAAATTTCTGTTTTAAATAGAGAAAAAGGAATGGAATTACATATGAACAATGGCTTCAATGACAGACTGAAAAATCTCTATATTAAAACAAGTTTCTATTAAGAAAATAATTGCTTTCATCATAACTGACTTAAAAATTAAATTTAATAATAGACTATTGTAGTTTTTAAAACCAAATTAACATAAATGGATTTCTACATCCTTTCATAATTCGTAAATGTGACTGATTCCTTTGCTTTTTCTGTTTCTACTATTGTAACTAAATGGATTTTAAACTTAAAGAATAACAAAAGCATTAACATTAACCCAGTTTATACGAATACAACTAGATAACAGGGATATACGTTTTCAGCGGACTGAATAGACGGTATTTAGCCTTTTGAATTAAGGTCAGAGAAACTAAGTTTAGAGAGTTCAATAACAAAGATTTGGGTTGCTAGTGAAGTGGATCGTTATGACCATAGGCGTTCTTTTGTACTACACTTTGTGCTCAATTTAACGGAATGTTTCATTAGGAGTTGCTTACCTAAAACGGGGATAGAAGCTCTCACGCTAGTAATTCTTCTGCTTCAGAATGAGAAATTCAGTCAATCATAAAGAACTAGAAGTTTCATTGCCTTCCAGGCAGAGACGACCTTCTGTTACTTTGACCTAAGATATATTATTTTAATTCAGACAATACTGCGTAAGCGAAACCAATGAACCTAATAGAAATCATATAAGTAGGAAATCGCTCGTTATAACGAGAATATAAAAGGATATATTTTCGAATATGACAATAATTAGGCAAACTGAGTGAGTAGTTATTTTAAACATTATCATTTTATCACAACACATATTTTCTCTGTTCGTTGATAAGTTAAAGGCAAATTATATTTTGAAGTTGATAATTTTCTTCTAGGCTATTCGATTTAATTTCATTATCGACACAATTTTGAATGAATCACTTGATGACGAACAAAATTTGATGAAGTTTAGTCGTTCGTGAGAGTTAAATTATGGTATTTTTAAAACTTATGAATGAGAACGAATTTCGGGGTCAGGAAATATTTAACGTATCGCTTAATTAGGTATATACGCATGTAAACCTCTGTATGAGCTATGTACGACGTAATCGTTAATATATAATCAAATCCATTTATACATAGAATAAGATGTGTACATATGTATGTATGTGTGTATGTATGTATGTGTATAAATTCAATTCATATTCGTGCAGTGAAAAAAGCAAGTCATTATCATTATTATCTAATCAAACAGAATCGTTGTTGTTTTGTTGTGGCTTTTTGTTTGTTTGTAATTGTTTGTATATTCTAAATTTGAATAGTTTTTTAAATAGATAAAAGCCAAAAACGCTAAACAAACATATGTACATATGTATGTACAATTATGCATCTTTATATTAGTACACAAACGAAATACACAAAATACCCAAGTTATTAAGTTTTAAATATGTAAATTTTTATTGTGAAATAGCATCGAGTAAATACAAAATTTGTAAACACATAATAAGATGCGTACTTATGTACGCAAATGCATGTACATATACATATATATATTTATATACTATATACATATATACTAATTAATAAGCTGTTCTTTATACTACATTTTTACATAAAAAAATATAAATTTCTTATTGCAATGATAACATAAAAAATGTTCATTAAATTTTCTTCTTTGTACAATAAATAAAAATTAAATAAAATTATTGAAATACCAACACTTTGATCATAAATTATATATTACTGTATTACTGTATTACTACTGTATGTATAACTAAGTTGCGTCTCTGGATTAATACACTAAAATCCGGTGCATGTTCTTTATATAGCAGATAAAAAATCTATACAATCTAATCATCACAAATCACGTGAAATAATATAAAATCTTAAATATTTTAACTTTTAACTAAGCGCACTTGTGCAACTGCAACTGCTTTAAGTGTCTGCAGATTTCGTTTGATAGTAAGATCAATTAATTGTATTCAATTTAATAAACAAAATATAAATCATATAACAAACAATAAGTACATACTACAGTGTAGATCGAGAGTTGATCTTTTAAGTGAAAAAGTGCCAAGAGCCTTACAAGCTATAGAACTCAATGATTTTATTATGTGAGCAAGCTTCAGGCCTTTGTGGCCACATCGTGAGCGCCTAGTATGAAACCTTTGGCAGTGAGTACGCCTCGGCAGCGTACATGCACTTGGTACCTTAATGTCCAATCAACCGTGAAGCCGGGTATTATAAATTGTTCATCAGATACCAATATTTCTGGGTCGCTGTGTGTCAGCAGTTGTATGTCGTGTTTGTTGCAAAATTCCTGCAGTGCTGGTGGCACTACACAACACGATGATAAATTTATCTGTGCAATTGTGGGTGGCACTCGTGCGCCTGCATGCAATTGCGATAATGTTTCTATGTCTAAGTCGGATATGCCCAATTGCTTAATTTGCTTATTTAGTGCAAATGTCTCTAGCGTGCTCCATAGCTCCTTTAATTCTCTTACTGTTTGATCGTTTCGACTATGCCATTTAAATTTCTCTCCAGCTGGTGTACCAACTGGCGTTGTTGGTGCTGAATTTATTACATTCTGAGGTATTGGATGATATGCTAATACCACATTATCTACGTGTTCTACATTTAAAATCTGTAGAAGTGTAGTAATGGCTTGTTCGATGCATTCTTTTGAATTTTTATTTAGGAAAATTTTTGCTCCAATGCTAATATCTGGCCGTTGATTCTCTGTTAGTTTTTCATTAAGCTCCTGCGTTGCACGCAGCACTTGCCCTTTAGTTTCTTCTAATACCACATGGTTGATATCATTTGCTTGTAAAGTTAATTTTAGACCGTCAATTAATTCTTCATTCGATCTACTTCCGATTTGCTGATTACTTGTATTCAATATATTGCCTGTACTTATGACAAGCTTTTGAAAATTTACATTGCTTGTAATTACTGGAATCATTTTATGTTTTACCGCTCTAATTTTAACAACGACTGAAATATTTCCCAATTTATAGCAATTTATAAAAACAATCGAGTTGAAAACGACCGACCACACTCAATGAATGTATAAACGGTGCTGCCAATTTCACGTAAAAATAGTATGTCAATTGCAAAAAATACATGGGAAGCGAAACTTCAGCTCTCATATTTGAAATTAAATAGTGAAGTATTCTATGTGTCTGGAGACACTAGGTTAATAGTGCAAAAAGATGAAAACTTTTTTTTATTAAGTCGGTTTTGTTTTTTGATATTTTAACTTTTATTTCGTACGTTGTATTTTGTGTATCTCTACACATATTTCGGCAAATTCGTCTCAGCCTTCATCAGGATCATTTCTAATATTTAATATATGTTTTTATAACTTTTACATAGTGTAGTGAAGTGCTGGGACTGAAATTTGGAATCAATATATATTCAAATTATTTTTTGCTCTTTGCTTTTAATATATATACAACTAAACAAAGTTCTTAAAAACTTGTGTAGTATATACATGTATAGATATATATAATATTTTGTTATATTGTATTATATGTATATACAGAACTAATAAGTTTTAATTTCATATACGAAATACTAACTTTAAGATAAATATTTTAAGTAATTGAAGCCTAAAAATTTATAATATAACAGAAACATTCAATTGAAATATTAAACAGAGACTTACAAACTGAACGTGTCTTCTGACAGTATTAATCATGTTATATATAAAAACAAATAACAGTTGTAAAAAATAATTACTGGTTTTTAGAGACTATCATAAAGTAATTACAGATAACAACATTAATGTTCTGAATTTTGATTAAATAATTTAATACAAAGAGTTTAAAACTTATGCTTGTATATATGTAATTTTTGAATGACGCGATAGGTGAAATTAGTAAAAGCAATGATTACTACATGTAATAATTTGCCAGGTTCAGAGTTCTAAGCCTGGTACTTCCAGTACAACAATTATAAATGGACTTATATAACCAATGAAACATCTGTATGGTCAGCAAAAGAAAACTATTAATTTAAACAAAACTTTGTTATTGTTATTAACTTTTACTTAAAAACCCTTCTAATAGTTAAACAGTTTTTAGCAATTATAAATGGACTTATATAACCAATGAATATTGTAAAGATCATTATGATGAGTATTTGGCAATACTCAAAACATCTGTATGGTCAGCAAAAGAAAACAATTAATTTAAATAAAACTTTCTTATTGTAATTAACTGCTACTTAAAAACCCTTCTAATAGTAAAGCAGTTTTTACTTTCGTTATAATTGACTTTTAGCAAACTTTATTTTCTATTATATATGTAAGTAATCGGTTTCGTTGTGAATAAAATTATTAACTTTTTTATTTAATAATTTAACAATTTTTGTGCATAATTTTTTACAAGTAAAAGTTTAAACTTTTTGCATATCCATATAAATATTCAATAACCTTAAAAATATGTTTTACATTGTTTTCCAAAGTTTTAAAATTAACGCCTGCTTCAAGTTTATAGCGGGCCTCATATCATTTCTTCATTAATGGCCATGCGTGATTGATGGCGCAATACACTAACTGTGTAACGAACAGGCAAACGGACGCGTCTCTCACTTGAAGTCACTTACACATCATCATTTCGCTGCAGCACTTCTTTAGATGTTTATTGATTTTTATTTGTGTATCTTGCTGATTTCACTGACCTTGGATCTAGATCAAAGCTGTTGTCCGCCGATTCTTCATTCAACATGTATGCCACCTTTACTCGATCAATACTCACTTTTAATGTTATTCTGTAATTAATATGAGCGCTTTGACGAAATCCGGGGATCTATTGAGTTAAAGTTCGAGATCGCTTTACCAGTCATCGATCCATCTGCTAATTTACATATAAACATTAACAGCAATGACGGTTTCGAATCATTTAACTGACATTCTTAAACCGAGCGTTACAGTTTACAATTTTCCGCATCTGAGTCTGATTGTATAAAAATATCTGACAACGTTAAAAAAACATTAACATTCAATGCGTTAAAAATAAACTTTTGTTAATTTGTGTAAACTTCCCGACCACATCCCGACCTTGCATAACCCGCAAGGTTGGTTGGCATGTATACATGTTAATCATCATATGATCGTCTTATGTTGTATAATTTAACTGACCAATTGCGACTCTTTTAGTTTTAGTTCAGCTTTTAATATCACCATTTGCATTTCATGTCGTGCTTTAGATTCCATTATTTCCATTTCGATTTGCGTCATTTTTCGCTTATGCTCCTTACGAGCGTTCTGAAGCTGCTTTTCCAAGAAGTGCGTTTCTTTCGTATTATTTACATTTTTTACTAAACATTGATTTATTTTAAAAAAATTCTCTTTGTCAATTATAGCATTATCATCCCCTGCAACTATTACTTCTTCTATTCCTGGTATGCGCCTTACAATTGTGCCAGCAAAATTTTCCTTATTAACGCTTTCTTCCTTAATAGCGTCATCATCAGCAAACACTTCTTTCTCTTTAATATTTTGTTTGCATTCAACAAAATTGTCTTTGTCAGTTATATCAATATTTTTTTCTTCAATTGAAGCATCTGGAATAAGTACCACATCCTCTTCATTATTCTCAATTATTTTCGGTTTTTTATTCGCATTATTGTGAGTTATGCGTAACGATTTGTGTTGCATTTTATACTTTGCACGGATACGCTCAGTCATTTTCTCGTCTTGCATCAGAAGCATACTATGTTTAAGAATTTTTCGTAACTTTAAACTGTAGCAGGAATTCCTTATGTTTTTTCAAACAAATGTTAATTAAACCAATCTCTGCACTTTTTCGATAAACATATATCGATACAGAATAAAGGTAAAAGCACAATAAAACATTCACTTCATATAAGCATTTACACAAGGTACTTCATTGAATGGTTTCCTTTTTTTAACTTTTTTAATATTTAAGGCATTATCCCTAAATGGATGTGATTATAATTTAGAGTCTAACGTTGTCTTATTAAAATAAAGAAAGACCTATAAAACAAAAAGACAGAAAGCTGAGAGTTCAGCTTAAAACATCGCACACAAAGTAATAGAATAATTGCAAACGGTAAAATAAGCAAGAGTAGCTGTAGACCAAAATGATGTGCTGCATAAAAGCTCGGTCGATTCAGTACTTAAGACGGCGCATTTTATAAGGTGTTGAGTGTTGGACCAATCGTCTGGGCGTTATTACGTTAAATTGGTCGATATTCTTTATAATCAAATTTAATTAAATCTTTTTTTTTGGTTTAAAACGGTTAAAGTAAATTACTCTTAGTCTGTATAAAAATCTATTCTTATAAGAAATAAATAGATTTTGAAAACTGCAACATAACATTTTTTCTTTAAGAAATTCCTATCTTAATGAGGATACCCCAGCAAAAATTTCCAACACACCAAGAAAAAGTGTCTTTACTATGGTGAATAAATTGCTATTCATATTTACCATTTTATGAAAAGTTTATTTTACACAACCAAGTTGTGTAGTTTTCTACTATTTATGCATTACAAATAAATATATTTCGTACCTTTAAAATTGATTTGGATACAGTTTGAAGTGAATCAAGTGTCATTCGTTGACTCATGAGTAACGAATACTTTTTAAATTAAAAAATGCTTTGAACTACAATTTTTACCATTTATAAGCTCTTAGTTGCTGTGTTTATAAGATATACTTTTTTATACTACCAAAATATTTATAATGAGACCAAAGAAATGGGTCTCCTCGCAGATATACGTACTTTAAATGATTTTAGGTTAATGGTTTAGCACGAAAATTCGTTTATTTATTAAATTAGTTCATTTATCCAAATGTTAAATAAATAAAAATTAAGAAATTAAAAAACTTAATATGATAAATCTTCATAAGGCTTTTTCATTACATATCTAAGTCCTATGGTTTTCATATTTCCAAACATTATTCAACAACCAGTAATTTAATTTTTGCATTAATTCAAATTCTTACAAATATTCGCATTCTTGCATATTGAACAATATCCTTAATAATAGAGTAGCGTTTTCCCGCTTCATTAAGTAAACTGAAAACATTACGATTTTAAAATTAATTAATATTTACAAATGGTAAGTTTGTTAAAAAAATAATAAATAAAATAAGATTTAAATTAAAATGGATTTTACTTGATGGTTATGAGCGGGTTAAGGAGTGTATTGAGTAAATATTTGATTCCACGCATGAGATCTTGCCTGCGCGCATCAACAGGTGATTTTGTTTGCTCTGCTATGCTTATTGCCTGTAGATCCTTGTCTTTACAAATAATGCATTCAATTGCTATAAGTTGTACATGAGGCAACGTGGAACCAAGCATGTGACTAATTATTAAGCCAGTAGGTAGGATGCGACTGTTTAAGAGTGTACCATGGAAATGTATACGGTCACCAACTGTAAGAGCCTGTGTAAAATTGTTGAATTTATAATTTGCCTGCAGAACAACGTCAGCTTCCTTGCTTAATAAACCAAACGACATCTTAACAAGTACTTCATATTCATATACATTATATTTGTTTAAAGTACATTTTGCATCCAATTGGTTACTTTTGAGTATGCTCAGCAAATCACTGCAAAGCGGATCATTTTCAAAATCACAATCGATTTCGCTGCTGAGTCGTGTACCAAACGAACAACGTAGTAAATTTCCAAGCCAGTTGGGTAAATACTTAGATATAAATTTTTCATATTTGTTTGATGCGCGACTAATTTGTACTTGTGAAACAGTACCAACCCATGTAACTTTGATGCCATCAAGTGTGGCGCAACGTAATTGTTTTTTTATTCTATTTTGTGGTCCCAATGCAGATTGATCACATATTTTGAAAAATCTTTGCCAGCTCAAGTCATTAGCATCAAACGGCATGGTGGGTTTACTTAACGACTCAATATCACCAAAACGTGATTCATCCTTGAAATTTGATGTCATATACGGATATGTAAGCACACAAGCTGCCACTAAGCACACTAGCACCTATTTGTACATAAATGTTAGTTCTTTAAATTAATTTCTCACATTTTTCACATAATTCTGAAACTTACTTGGAGCATTGTGACATATTTTTGTGTAGTTCGGTTAAGAGCCATAAAACAAGAGCCAAGTACAGCAACAACACCACATAACACGGTACTTCCGAATCGTATATTTGCATTGGTTACTCCTACATAATCAATTGCCACAAATACTGGAATCAAGAGTGACACAATTCCAAATAGCGGCAAGAAGAGTAAAATGCCAGCTAGACCAAGTGTTGCACGCATTACACCAAACATAGTGGCACTTTGGGAGGAAGATATGCACATATGCAACCAACAAAGAGTGACACAGTGTGGTATCAGATACGAAAATACCCCATTCCAATGCGATCTCTTTGCTAATTGTGTTAGAAATCCTGGAATCAGCAAATACAAAGCTGTGCGGCAATTTAAACAAAACTCGATGCCATTGCCAATTACAAAGGAACTAAAATTTGGCACTTTGAGATCTAAGAACCTCCAACCTGTTGTTACCACTTCATCCATTTCATAAGGATATTTTGCAAGCACGTTTATTCCAAATGATATAAGTGTAATCCAATCGGGAAAGTATGTAGATGAGCAATACATGAACGCCAACAAGGAAACAAATACAAAAATTCCAGATATAATGGTGAGTTCAGAATGTGGTATCCAACCAGTTGGCACAAGTGGGTAAACAATCATGCTGCATATAAATCCACAAAAGAAGTAGACATAGGGCTTCATATTGTTCTTCAGGAATCGATTTTCAGATATATCCGCTTCGATGTTGTGATTTCCATAGCTCAAAAATAGGCCCGACCAAATCCGAAAATCAACAAAATCTTGTTTGCTTTTAAGCATTTTACATGTTGACCACATCATAACACCTATGCAGATGTAATAAATGCATGTTGGCAAAGCGTAGGCATTGTCGCTCGATAGCAGAGAGTAGATGAGGAATAACAGCAGGATACGAACATTTCCAGGTACAGAGAAAGGCAGCGTCGAGATGGAATTAATAAGTCGATGATAAAGTAGTGTAAAAAAAATGATTGGATGGAAAAGCAAACGATGAAAACAAGGTACGTGGTCCAGTGTTGCTGGGTGGGGTACAGAAAGCGTTAAGGCATCACTAACTGTTGGTAAACGACCTGCAGAGTAGTTAACTGCTGCTGATACCAAGTTCTCTTCTGTGATAACATGTTGCGGTTCGACATCAACACCACCGTCAAAACTTATATGACGAAAGCGATTGCTCGTATGAAGTTTCGCTTCACCATTTTTAACAGCTTTTGTATGTTCTAATCTGTCAGTTGATTTATCATGATCGCTATCTTCATCGGATGTGGAAGTAGAATAACCGCGGCGACGACGTTTTTTCTGTAATTTGTAAATTTGGCGCATTTTGCGCTCCAACTGCTTTGGAGTAATATGTTCATTTCCATTAGATAAACAAGCAAAAAGTTCCCTGGCAGCTTTGCGTGCCGCTCGCTCTCCGGGTGTCATGGACAAACACGAACGAACTTTGTCCTCATTTTCACTGGTAATACCGCAGTCATCGTCATAACATTTTTGCAATAATTTCGCTGCTTCTTCGTGTCCTTCTTGCGCCGCACGCATAAGCCAATGCACTGCTTCCTCACAATAATTGCCATCGCTTTTATCTTTGAGAATAATTAAATAATTTAAAAACCACTTTTGTTACATATGCAGTAGGCGTTCTTACCAATTGCATTCTGCAACAGTTCTTTTGCGAGATCATACTGTACGTCAGAGCAACCTTCGGAAGCTATGTGATATTTTAAATTGTTTAATGAAGTGCGATCTGTAAGAGAAAAAATAGAACCTGATCTTTTATTTATATATTAAATATATTAAAATTATGCTTACTATCAATATTCCATTTCCTTCTAGTTGCTGAGCCATTGGGTTGGTTTTTTGTCCAATTCGCCATTAGAAAAGTTTGTATTGAAAATCATTAATTATCCTATATTTATTACAGATAGTTAAGTAATAATTTCGGAATGATATTAACCGTTTGGATACTTAGTGCTTCTAATTGTTTTCAGATGCAGCTGGCTTGCATTATTTCTTAATTCTTGTAATCGAAATGTGCTTGAGTGGATGTCAAAAAATTTAAACAATTGTCATTGGTGTTTATATTTTATTGCGATCTTTCCCAACAAAATAAATACAAAAACACGCTATAACAATTACTTAATATTTTAATGTTTAAAAATTATATATATATGCAGCTGATTTGTTTGTTACACATATAGTTTAACATATTAAGTAAAATTTTCATGCGTAATGTACTTGTATTAAATGCATCTGAACTGAATTTTGACTGTTTGACTGTTGACACACGAGTGCGGGAAAACAATTAAGTTGGTTTATAGGCTGTCGACTTTAAAAGTGAAAATATATTAGTTTTTCAGAAAGTACAAAAAATGGATAAATCTCTACATCAACAAATTTACAATAATGCTACACGGAGCCCGTATAGCATACGCACACGCCAAAGCTCGGCGAGTTCATTGTCTGCCCGTAAAACCGGCTATAAACGAAGTAACCTATCCTATGGCGGAGGCGCCACTGCTCCAAGGTGAGGAAATTTGATATAAACTAGATCCGTTTAGATATTGTTTGTATTTAAAGCGTTTCTGGTCGATCTAACCAAACTATTTTGGGTATTCGCTCCGAAATGAATATTGTTGAGAGTTACGGATTTCAGTTGCCGGTTGTTGTAAATGAGGCGTTAAACTTTAGTGAAAAGAATCAGCATGTTTCAGTAATGTGTTCTCCAAACGGTTGGGCGTGGGTAAGTGCATTTTTATTTTTTGTTTTATTTTGAATTCCATTTGACTAAACAAACAAATTTCTAGGCTGTCCATTTACGTCATTTGTACATTTGGCAGTACAAAGACACGCGTTCACTACAACAAAATAAGGAGCAAATGCGCACGCCACAGCGACGTGGTGCTAGTGCACAATGCAGAGAGTTGACGTTACCGCACTGCGATATTGGACATAAAGCGAGCTTGGTTACTGTTTTTGTAGGTGAAGGACAACAAATGGCATCTTGTATAGCAGTATCACCAACTGGTGATGTGCGTTACTGGACATCAATTGCTCATGATGGTTCTACAGTTGATGCAAATGGCATATTGGAAGGGCAGGAATTTGATTATTTGATGGAAGTGCCATATCATCAAGGCTATCTGCTAGTTACCACGACATGTAGCTTAGTGTCATTACAATTACAATTGGTTAATGGTAGACAAATTCTGCATCATAAAACCATAAAACAGCCCACAGGATTTTTAGGAGGGTTCGGCAAAAAATTTGCATCGATTATAATTGGTTTAAATAGCAGCAACGATAAGGAAAATGTTAGTTTATTATTATTTATATCCTATTTTAAAACTATAACACAGCAATCTTTAGAAATTTGTAAGTATCGCCTGTGAGGAAGAAGATGATGAGAATGCGGTTGTGACTTTGCTCGCTGATCGTTGGATACAGCGCTGGCGAATTGCTAATCAAGGCACCTCAGAACAATTTATTTATGAAGACTGTGATATTGTGCGCAAAATACGGGAAGAATTTATACTTAAATTTTGGCAAACAAGAGGTAAATTTTTTAAAAAAAAATAGGTACGTTAAAATATTGTGTATTAAAATATTTTAGTTGGAAATCCTGAAATTGAACTTCACTTACTTGACATGCATTTATTTGATAATAAAATGTATGTGCTTGGTGGAGCTGTAAATTCAACACATGCGCCTCAAATGTGTTATGGCATTTGTAAGTGGTTTTTCATTAAGAAACATTCCAATCGTAAATAAATTCTGTATACTTTTAGCTGTTCTTGCACCTACGTCCGATGAAATGGAATTATTGAACTTTATGCCATTAAAATTCTCTCAATTCTTTAGTACTGGCACTGAAAAAGATTGCCTTAGTTTACGTTTTATTATATCCCGCTTACATATATATTTATATACAGATAAAGCAATTTATCCAGTCAGTTTAAGTAATCCTACTTCGACAGATTTCGAGGCAGAGAAAATTGAATTTCAAGTGTTAGAGGATCGTATTTTGAACGCCACCGTTTCCAATAACTTACCGCTTTTCTTTAGTCGCGCGCATGGATTAGTTTGCGTTACACCAGCTGATATCGATAGTCCTGAACTCTTTCACACGTCAAGAAATACCACCGACTTTTATATTCCACAATCAGAGGCTACTTTGCGAGAACAGACTTTGATAGATCCCAGTATGGTAGATGGTAATTTGTATATGTTTGATTTGGATCCTGAAGCTATGTACAATGAGTTTAAGGACGGAGTTAGTCAGTTGAAAGCAGCTTTTATTTATCGTCTTAAGCGGAACAATAATATGAGCACGACTATACTAAACGATTTGCTGCGTAGTACTGCTGAAGCACAAACTGCTGGCGCATTAACAGATACAAATGAGTTAGACAAGTAAGAACAACTCCACAATACTCAAACATAAATGAAATATGTTTTTAATAAAGTATTTTTCAATAGAATTGTGGTGACGATAGCTGAAGATCTTGCAGAGGATGTACCTGCAGCAGATCCACGCTGGGAGCAACTGTGGAATGAGAATCAAAACAATAGACATGCGTTAGGCAGTTCTTCATCTATGCAAATTTTGACCCAACTCAAGGAAAAAAATCTAGCATTGAGACATTTTGTGGATTTTTTGCACACAACTGGTATTTGGGATAAGGTATGTGAAGTAATATCTAATAAAATTTTGACATATGCTTGATCATGTGCCATTTATTATTATGATTAAAACAATTTTTGGAAATATTTTTAATTTAGTTGCAAACGTTGCACAGTCCTGGAAGTAGTGGTGCTTTGATTAAGTCAACCTGTAACATTATATCCGACATAAATGAGAAGATTATAGGCGCTATAGCCTTAAGATCACAACAAGTCAAGTACATAATATAAAATGAATTATTTAAAATTGTTTAAAACTTCATATATTTACGTATTTTTAGATTTTCAAGTCTTGTAGATGAAGCTATACAACGAGTTATTGTAGGCTGGAATAATATGCCTGAGGGTGCTTTAACAGCACAGGATTTATTTTATGTACGCATTTGCAAATTCCAGGACCTCTTTCAGGCGTTAGCCGATATTGTTGACGAACGTATTACAAAGCAGAAACAGTCTCTTGCTGTGACAAATTTAATTTGTGACATCAATGCAATCGTTTTACACTTGCTCAGCGAAATTCATACCTTTCGTGAACAAAATGCATCAATATTTTCACTGCCTGCCGATAAATTGGATATGTATGAATATTTGCCTTGGACTGCCATGAGTGGCTCTGCTGGCATGAGGGATGTTCTAAATCACTTGGTTGATATAACAACGCGTTATGGCACACGTACTCCTTGTGATCCATCCACTAAACAAAAATTATATCAGCAGATCTTAGAGCTAATCGATTACATACTCGACGGTCGAAAATCATACTTGGATAGCATACGCGACACAGAGAAATACAATGTTTTCTTGCAACAATACGAATCGCAACGTTTGAGTTTGATTTCTCTTTTAAGTAAGTATAATACTTTTTGTAATAATTTGATAAATAATTTTTTATGTTGCGTTTGCTTCCAGTTAACGATGAACAGTATGAGCTCGCCGCAAAGTTGGCTGAGAAGTACTTAGACTTCCAATGTTTAGTAATAATATGCGATCAAAGTGACAGTCAGGAGCGCCTTGATCATTATATAAAAAAGTTTGAGGAATACGATTTCTCACAGTTTGCAATTAACTGGCATTTACGTCAAAATCGTCAGGGCGATGTATTTGATCGTTTCAAAGAAAATCAAGCTGCCTTATCACAATTTATGCGAGATCATCCGACTTTGGCTTGGATACAGCTGATATATAATGGGGACTTCGAACGGGCATCAAAAACTCTTCTGCAGTTGGCACAAAATGAAACTGAATTAGTAACAAGAAAAAAGGTAGCCAGTCGTTATCTTAAATTTAAGCTAAGCTAAAAAGTATTGAAGTGATTAGTAATATTTCTAATGCATATTAGTAAAATATTTTGTTAAACTAGTAAAAAACAAAGATATAATTGCAGTTAGTGGGATATAAGCAATTTTGGGTAACTAGCTGTCCTGTTGAAAAATATGAGATAATTTTTTTAAAGTTCTAGTTAAAGAATGGACCCTTATGGACTATGTTTAGCTTATAACGCGTTATCATAAGTACATTTAAAGTGTGAGAAGAGGTAAAAAATGGGTTGTAAGTAGCTGCCCAGTTGAAAAGTACCAGATAATTAAAACTTTTACTTAAATACTGTTCTTTATGGACTACATTCAGCTTAGAAAGGTTATGAAACAATTAGTCTGCGAAAGGCTACATATCGTCTTACTCATCCTCAGTGGTCTAAGGAAATATTTGAATTTTTTTGTAGTCCGTATATAATTTTTTAATAATATAATATTTTATATAATATTTTTGTAGTCCGTATATAATGTGTTTGGATTGCAAGAGCCAGTCTTAGAAGTCGTGCCTGTCAAATTAGAATCGATGACTAATCGTGTTTTTTCACAAGTAGCCAAACAGTCCAAATTGTTTGCAGTCCAAACAAATTATATACGGACTACAAACTAATTAAAAAAATTCGAAAATGTATTTCCTAAGATCACTGATGAGTACTTGCCAATACTTGTCAATAATTATTTAACATTAAATATATATATTTTATTTTATATCACATATATACCTAATAAAAATTTGTATGTCCTTTGACAAGCTATCCACTTGGACTATATATATTATATATAATAGAAATATTTTACATCTGGAACACGTTTTAATGAAGTAATAAAAGAAACTGTAAATTAGAGTTTATATTAAAATATTAGTTTAAAAATTAATTTGCCTAAAGTTATATAGAAAATATAGTAATTATATATAATAATAATAAATTATGACAAATAATAATAAAAAAGACAATAAAAATAATAACACATAATGAATTAGTAATAAAAAGTAATAAGTATAAAAATTAATTCTAAATATAAACCAAACAAATTTGATTTATAATATATATTAACGATTAATTTTCACTTTTATATAATGTATTTGTACTATTTTTTAGGCCATGTTATCCTTGTCAAAATTAGCATCCATAGCATCGTTGGAGTCTGATTTGAGTACACAAATTGAAAATATAAATACTGAACAAAAAATTATTGATTATCAAGAACAGCTAAGTGCTGCACTATTGGAAAGCTTTGGTTTTGATCCTGAAAATCAGAAAGTGTTGAAAGTGGAGGAGATTATAAATGCAAGTATCATTTATCAGGAACAGTATAAGTTTCTCATATAAATATAAGTAAAAATTTAAATAAGTAAATATTTTTTTTCTTTTGCAGCTTATAATAACGGATGAAAATGAGAAAGCCACAGAGGAGGACTTTCGTAAAGCACTCGAATTGTTAAACTATATAGAGGAGCCTTACGAAGCAAGGCATAAAATTTGGTGTGCTGCAATTTTACGTGATAATTGGATTGACTATGATATCAATAATGCCATTGACCACGTACAAAACCTCTTATTTTTTAAATTGACCGAAGTGTGTCATTTAATGGGTATTTAAAATTTATGTATTATTAATATTAGTTTTAATTATATCAATTAGCTTAGACTCTTAAAATTTAGCAGTGCTTTTTATTAATTTTTATATTTGACCTACTTATGCTAATAAGTAACATTAAAAATGTAATTGCAGGCACTGAGCTCGAGACATTCTTACCACCAATTGAAAATTTCCTTAATGCTGAAGACTTGGAGGAGGTGGCACACAACACGTCATTTCAATATTTACTCAAGTTGACATATGAATGCATCAATAATTCCTTTAAGAAAAGTGATGAAATGGAAACTTGAGTCATAGCATTTAGAATTCAAAATATTTTTAGTATTTGTTAATTTATGTTTTGGCAAATGGAAGCCTGATTTTTTTTATAAAATTTTAAATAAAATGTTTTAAGATTATAGAATTTTTAAATTTATTGAATGCTATTAATTGTTTTATGTATTCGACTATCTAAATTACAATTGCACACATCAATAATAGCGAGACAAATCATGTGTGAAGCTTAACAAGCTATCTGTATCTGGACGGTTCTGAATGAAACATGTTTGTTTTCACTGCTAAAAAACAAAGAATGTGTATTTCAGATAAGCTGTAGGCTGCTTAGGACAACCACTTTATAAATATTTGTAATAATTTTTCATATGCATACCTAAGCTAGAATTGCTAGTTGTAGCCGAGACGTGAAACCCTACAAGTGAAGTGTAACTTTAACTCTAACTGGTCGCGTCGTAAGTTCGTCAACTGGAAGTTAGTTGCACTTTAGCTACGCTACGGTAAAGCAGTTTTTTAACATTAATTTCGGTTTCATTGCAAATTTCGAAAGTGAATACTCAAGTGAGCCAACTGTTATATTTGCAAAAATTGTTTGCAATGTCGGATGAAACTACGCCGTTAACATCTTCACAACCACCTGGACCGATGCATGTCTTTCCAGGTGGTGTTTCACCACGTTCAAGACGACAAAAAATGTGTCAGTATCAATTTTGCATTGGATTAATGCTTTTGTAAGTGTTCTGGTGGAATAAAGGTGGTTTAAAGTATGCTTTCAAGTAATGAGCGAATGAGTGCAAATAATAAATATATATTCAATAATAAATATAATAATAAATATAAATAAATATAATGCTATTAAGATAATAAAGAATTTTTCTATATTCCTAGATAAAAACATGATTTGTAATTACTATATAATATATAGTAATATATATATTACTATATATATATTCATATAAAATGAATGTTGTGATTCCCAAAAAATAGTTAAGAAAAACCCAGGGCGTAGCTACAATACGAAAATAAATACAAAAAACGAGAAGAATCAAGGAAAAAAAATACCTTTCTACTGAAATAATCAATAAATAAGCGCTCCATTGCCTAAAATACATCTTTTATTGCTTCACAACCGCCTGAGTACATACTTAATACGCTCGCCATTGCTCCATCACAATATGGCCCCTCATTGGCTACGCCTGCACAAAAGTATATATTAAATTTGTTTGCCAATAGATTTCTTTTAAGAAATATCTAGGTTAGGAAGTTACTGCAAAGTTGTATTTATAATTACTGATCTATATGATGTTTCATAGAAGGTTTTTCGTTTTTTTAATATCAAGTTTTTTAATATTGATTTTAAGGGTCCAATCACTTAACATTTTCATATCCAGATGTTTATGCGGGAGAAAGCAAATGTCGCAAATGTGTAATCAAGATCTGCTATGTGACCCCATATATCGCATGTTATTTTTTCAAGTGTTCAAGTCCCTTTCGTTTGCCGAGCATATTGATAAATAAAAGAGATGATGGCACACTCCATTGACTCATTACTGTTTTGATAGAGATATTGTGGATTAAGTAATTTTCGTAGAACATTCTGCATATCGCATCTTCGTAGAGGTTATTTAATACATCCATTATTTTTTGTAATACATATTAGTGCGTTCCAGATGGTTTTATTTTATGATGCGTCATTGCAAGAAATTTTATCAATCTGTTAGAAGAGGGAAAATATTAAAGCTTTGCAGACTGTGTACCTACTCTGTACATACTCTTTCAGTTCCAACATATCGAAACGTCCTTGAAACTTAAGTTTTTTATTAACCCCATTAGGAGAGTTGAAAAAACTTTTTTGTGATGAATCAATAAATTATGACTGTGCGGCAAAAGTGCTTCAGTGTCTGTTACCCTAAAACCACAACTTATTTATAATTAATAAACCACATAGTCGTAACTGTGTACATATTTATAAGCAGAATTACAAACGTATATATGTACATATTTTCATTCATATTAATAACTTTTTTTATTTATCATGCAGTGTAATATTGATTGCGGGACTAGTTTTAGCTTTGGTGTTGACTGATAATTATTACTTGGATCCACAAGATCTGGTGCTTAATTTGGCAACAAACAATACTCCGATTACAAATGCAACTATACGTGACATTTTAGAGTCAACTACAAAACCCATTCCAGACGAGCCCGTAGCTAAATGGGCTCTAAAACATTTAAACAAAACTACCGGCGAGCAAGCAATAGGAGCTGGCATACAAGCTTTGGGAGATCGTGAAATAATGGAGGAAGGCATGGAAACAACACCGATTGATAGCCCGGCTTTTCGACATTATCGTTCACTGAACACAAATCCGGAAGCAAGAAAAATTGCACGGCGTGGTTATGTTGAAAATCAAGCAACAATACGTATCGCACAAATGTTTAACTATACCAAGATACCGGGACGCAGTAATATTGGTATAGGACCGCGCATCGACCTCCCTGATCCAACACTCAACTTTGCTTGTGATTTTAATGAACGTTATCGACGTATGAATGGTGTTTGTAATAACAAATTACATCCTCGTAACTATGGCGCTGCAATGACTCCTTACAGACGGATGGTAAGTCCAGATTATGCAGATGGTATAGCCCTGCCACGTGGAAGTGTCAATGGTACTATTACTGCTTCATACCTGCCCTCAGCTAGAGAAGTTTCGCTTAAGATCTATCGTGCTTCATATGAAACTGATTCTAATTTTACTGTGATGTTGGCAGTTTTCGGTCAGTTTCTGGATCATGACATAACGGCAACATCGCTAACTACATCGCAAGAAGGTGAATCCATTAATTGCTGCACACAGCCACCAAACACACATCCCGAGTGTTTCCCAGTACCCATAGCATCAAACGATCCGTACTATAAACAATTTAATGTCAGTTGCATGAATTTTGTACGTTCAGCACCGGCCAGTACTGGGCACTTTGGACCACGTCAACAATTGAATCAGGCTACAGCTTTTATAGATGGTTCTGTGGTATACGGTAATACAGATATCCGTCAGGAATATTTGCGTACTATGAGCAATGGAACTTTGCGCATGTTTATCACCAAAGATGGGCGTGAACTACTTCCTCTATCTACCAATTTTGATGATGGTTGTAATCGTGCACAGATGGCACGTGATGGTAAATTATTAAGTCAGAGTGAATAGTCATAAATATATATATGACATATCTTTATGTATTTAAGGAAAGTACTGCTTCGAGTCTGGAGATGATCGTGCTAATGAAAATTTACTTTTAACCTCAATGCATTTGCTCTTTGCTCGTCATCATAACTACTTAGCTCGGGGATTGCAAGAGGCTAATCCAAGTTGGGATGATGAAACTGTGTTTCAAGAAGCGCGTAAGATTCTGAGTGCACAAATGCAACACATAACATACAATGAGTAAGTCTAGATTTTAATAAGTTTATCTATAACACGATTTGGTTGATGTTAACAAGAAGATTACAGTCTTATGTAAACCATTTTGTCCTTTGAATTTTCTTACTTTCAAGTTGCTGCTGCTATTGTATTATCTTTACCTCCAGACTTTAAATTTTATATCAATAGTTAATATCACAAAAAAATTTTTACTTACAGATTTTTGCCAATCTTAATTGGTCGTGATCTCGCCCAAGCGAAAGGGTTGTTGCCAAGCACAAACAATTTTAAAGCACCAGATACATACGATTCTAGCGTTGATCCAACGATAGCCAATTGCTTTGCATCGGCAGCGTTTCGTTTCGCACATACTTTGTTACCGGTAGGAGCGTTATACGATTCAAAAATTACAAAAGATTTATTAAAAATTAATTTTAAAGGGTCTTTTCAATATGACTAGAGATAACAGTACATCAGAAGCTATGGAACTCCATCAAATGCTATTCAATCCTTTCTCCTTATGGAAGGAAGGTGGAATTGATAGTGCCCTTGTTGCAGCTGCTAATACACCAGTACAACGTGTCGATCGATTCTTTTCGTTAGAGGTTACACAAAAATTATTCGAAAATAATGTGGGTAACAAAAGACCTATTTGTGGCTTAGATTTGGTCTCACTAAATTTACAACGTGGTCGCGATCATGGTCTACCAACATATACAGTTTTTAGACAACATTGTAATTTACCACCAACCGATACTTGGGAACATATGGCTGCAGCTGTTGACACCGATTCTTTGCAAACTATAAAACAGATTTATAAGTAAGAACCACAGTGATTTTGGGTTGGCTTAGTTTAATTGAAAATTCTGTCTTCGTTCATTTCGTTATCTGAGTGATCTGAATTGTATTATTACCTTTAGTTCACCACTTGATGTTGATGTTTACACTGGGGCATTAAGTGAACCACCTATGGAGGGTGCCATATTTGGTCCTCTGCTTACTTGCATGGTATCCGATCAATTTTTACGTTTAAAAATGGGCGATTCACATTGGTATGAACGTAAGATTGGGCCACAAAGATTTACAAAAGGTAGGAATTATTCTTAAATATTTAATTATTAATTATTTGTTTTGTTTTGTTTTGTAACAGATCAATTGCGAGAAATATATAAAACTCTATTATCTGAAATAATTTGTCGTAATTCAGACTCACTGCAAAAAATTCGAAAATATGTGATGGAGAAGCGTAAAGAGATACCTAACGTTTATGTCTATTGCAGCGAAATGCCTTCCTTCAACTTTAGTTTATGGGTGTCAGAGCCTCGTAAACTGTACACTGCGAATCTGGTTAGTCGCCCTATGACTCTAGTGCGCGTTATGAGTGACAAAAAAAATACGCTACACCAAAATACAATAACTGACTTACCATTAAAAGCGACTTAAAAGAAAAATTTTAAAAAACGTTATATTTTGTTTTATTTAAACGTAATATTTTTTATTATAAAATAAAAGTTTTTAATAAAATTAGTATTATTTTAGAGTAGAGTTTTAAATTTTTTGTAAAAACTTCTGTTTTTTCGATCAATCGATGCAGTTCATATCTTCGAAATGATACTCGTATGTACTATAGTCGTATAATTCATATGTCAGTTGGTCTAATTATTGTATATTCAAAACCAACCTGCACGGTAAATAAAGAATATAATTTCTTGAAAATAAATGTTTAGGATGTCCACACATCTCGAAGAAAGATATAATCAAATGAATATTGGCAAATGAATATAAATTCGAAAAATTACAAAAACAATGTACCATTAAAGATTTGATTTGTTTAATTTAATAATAATCTTTTCCTTATTAAATATATATTCTCTTATAGCTATATAATTGTATAATTAAAATTTGTTTCGAAAAAAAGATTTTGCATTTTGCACTCCATAGGAGGCACATGCGGATCATTTCACCTCATCACTCAAGGTAACATTTTAAGTGCACTGGTCTCCAAAGTAACCGCCGCAACCTTACTAAGTAGACCAATAGAACCACTTGTGGTATTATGTAGTGTAGACATTCTGCAGGTACTGCCAGCTTTTCCTGCTGCAAATTGCATGTAAGACAATAGACAAGCGGTAAAAAATGTTAACAATAATATAAGCCAGAAAGTGCAGAATAGTGTACGACGTACTTTCTGCCACCAAGGATCATCTTTATACGGAAGTAATTCTTCCAAAGTCAATCCACAGCAGAAACTGAAATGAAAGTAAAAAAATAATGTAGAATGTACCTACATTAATATACACATATCTATAAATGTATATATATCTGAATTAGTATATAGATATCTATAAAAAAAATGTTTACTCATCAATAGAGAAAATGGGTTCGTAGTCCTTGGGGATATGTACGACATGATTGCCATGATGACAAGCACCAAAATCGTTGTAGTGTAAGAGAGTAGTCTTCTCGTCGGCACTCATTTTTTTGTGCGAATAATGTATATGGCTTTCTAGTACAAAAGATTTTTTTGATGTTGACACTGCAAACTTTCGCTAGATCTCCAGACAGCAATTGTTTGCCTGCTCTTCTACTTTTTCACTTTGCGCACCGACGTTCGGATAGCAACTGAAGTTGCTCAATTTTCTAAATTAAATATTTTGTTGTGCATTTTTCCATTGTTTTTATGCGTTTATTTATTTCCATTCTTAACAGATTTGTTGTAATTATAATTGAAACATTTTAATTCCTGTAAACAACGTTATCGTCTTCAAAGTATATAGGCAGTTATCACGATTACGCATCTTCCGCCCCGCTTAAGAAATTTTCACTCTTGTTGGTTGACGCGCTTCAAAGTCAGAAGATTTCTTTTTATTGCTTTCCGAGATAAGAAACATTATCTTCTCTGCTTGGCATAGTGAATTTTTGGATTTTTGTGCCAGACAGAGATATGCAATTCTTTATCTGGTATATAAACACATATACCTATCCAAGGGTATCGATGTCTATACCAGAAATATCAACATTTGTATTACGTAATAATAAGTATTGAACAGGATAAGTGAGATTATTAATAATTTCGCAGATAAAAAAAATGTTTTTTTTTTAAATTTAAATTTAATTTTGAATTGCGGAAATAAATAAAAATTAATTGATTTTTTGTTGGAGACAAGACCAGTAACAAGCGTAATATATATAGAAAACGGTAATCTTTGTTACCATATAATTACACATAAATAATCTTAATGGGATTTTAACGCGACTAGAATAATTTTTATATATTTTTTGATATTCCATGAGCGTTTGTGCAAAAAATAATCTGAAACGTTCCCAGTTCCTATCGTCAAGTAGTTCGTCTGTATTCATGTCTTTGACCAAATGTATTGCAGCCAGGAACCGAAAACGGTTGAATATATCGCTTTAATAGTATAGTTTAACCTTTTAAGAGAGAATAAAAGTAATTAAATAAATCTTAAATCGGAAATAAAGTAATATAGTATATAGTACAAATATAATCAAGTTATTGGATATTTGTTTAAATCTATAGTGAGAAACTACCTAGATTTATAGCTTGAAGCATATGCATGGGTATTTACCAATCAAAAAATATTAAAAATTAAAATCAAGACTTATACCTATAGAACTGAAAATATGAATATCCAAAACAATTCTCTGTCCAATACTAATATATGAATGAGAGGCCTGAACCTTATGTTGAAGTCAAATGAAATGAAACTTCATTAGTTTATATAACTTTCTCTCTTTGTTTTCTCAAACGATGTATTCAGTTTTGACAGTTACTCACTTAGTGTTTATGTAACGGTGATGAATTTTATTCTTTCTTGCACATTTCTCAAATTGCCAGCGAGCTATTTATATTTCGTACGGAATGCTTTGTTATAGCACTAAAGTTTCTAAACTTTATTTATTTTTTTTTTTTGTTATTGTGTACTGTCGCATATAGGTTTTTGTTCAACAAGACCTTCCAAGTTCGAGCTGGTTTTTTTCTTTCTTGGAACTTCCCCATCGCTGTCTGGGTTCCTACTTTACTTCCGATGTTTCATTTTCACCTCAGGATCCCCTCTAGGCACTATTTTTTAGGAAAATTAAACTCAATCTGAACAAGATTTCAGATATTACCAGTGCTGGTTTACAGTATGACGTTTGGGTCATAGTTTGAAGTTCTATTACCTCACTAATCGATCATAAGATTGGCAGTTCTCTCATTCAGCTTGTCGATAAGCTCAATTATCTCGGAATTGGTATGTAAGCTATGTCATTCAAAAGTCAGGTAATTAACATATGTCACGTGGCAAAAATCAGTTGAGAACATTTTCTGAGGAAATGCTTTGAGTTGATTTGACCGATTTACATATTATAACCGAAGTACTAGTTGTGTTATAAGAAAATGCTTGGAAGGTGAAATAAATGATCGGGAATAAAATATGTACATAATTTGTGTTTGTAGATTGTAACAGAACGACACCAATGGTTTGATGAGGAGAGCGCTGATTGGAGAAGTGGCGTGATGACTAAGACAAGGAAAAATTTATTAAGAGATAACAACGCTAAACTTTATATATAGGTTATGTGATGAGATTTAATGAAACTTATGACCACAAGTTTTTTATTGTTATATATAATTAATTTATTTAGGATTCACGGTTTTTATTAGAGAACTTAACAGTTAATAATAAATACTCATATTTCTCATAAAATTTCTTGTTATAATAATTTATAAATATACACTTATATATTTAAAAACATTTACAAAGCTATGCTAAAACTATACAAAAATGATTTTACTATATAATTTCAAATTCTTTCATATATGCATAGCATAGCATATATGAAATAAAAATACATATAATAAACTTTTAATATTTAATATTTTATAAACAAATTCACATACAAATATACAAACAATAATACATATATCAAATATTTTATTAAATACATATTAAAAATTATTTATATATCTTGCTTTGCACATAAACATGATTCAATTATTTAATTATTATCATTATATATATATGTTTTCCTACATACATACTTTATATATAAAAAATTATTTAAAGTATTTGAATTCAGGACGTGTTTTTGTTTTTGTTTTTGTTTTTGCTTTTGTTTTCTTTTTTTGTTAATTTACTGAATTGGTTTGTAGGTGTGAGGAGTGGTGCACGAATATTTTTTGGGTTTGTGCTCAGATGCTCTTCAAGTAAGGATCCCAACTCAATTCTGCAGTACCCATAGGCGACTATTGGAACTATCAGTTGCATTCAATAATTTTAATATTAAAAATTGTGTTTTATTATTTTCATATTATATATATCTTATAATATTTGCTAAGTAGTGGCAAATCTTCTTCTAGATTAAATATACTTTTTAAAGGACGTACAATTAAGAGAAAATATTAAAAATGCTGATGTATATTTAGGAATACCATACACATTTAGTTACTAAATGTATGTCTTCGTTTAATGCTTTGAAATACATAGTTACTCTAGAAAGGTGAATGTGTAACATCTTTGTAGTTGCAGTTATAGAAATTTTAATAGTTAATAGTTTGTAGAGTATCTTAATTTAAATATGTATGTAGTTATTTCTAATTTATGAGATAAATAAATGTCTTTTTAAATATATATTATTAAGTTAACAATTTAGGTTGGAAAGTTAATTTTTAGCTTTAAATTTTTGCAGCATGGAATTTATGTCAACTACTTCTAGGTATAATTCTATGTAGGGTTTTGAACTCTTTTCTTCTTAATACTCTCTAGATCGTGCCTAGAGCGCTTACTTTTCTTTTTCTTATAATTTTGCTTTAGTTTAGATATTATTTATAAAAGTTTCTATCAACATTATTTAAAGTAATTTAGTTATTTTTTTGAAATACATTACATATATATTAATATATATATATATGTATACCTTATTATTATTTCTCCATTTTACACCCATCGTACATGTATACCATTTTATCATTTTACTTATTAATCTATAATTTATTAAATTTATATAGTTTTCATATTTTCATATACTATTATACTTAACAATTGTTTAACAAAAATTTAATGTCTCGTCTATAGTTTTCTATATATATTTCATCTTCAACTTTCAACAGATCTCTGGAAGCGCAATTTTACATACTCGTTTATATGTATTAAAATTTATTTTGAATAGAGTTAATTATTTAATAAAATAACAAATATATGTTAAAAAGTACAACAATTTGAAGATTTAAGTGAGATTGATTAGAACCTATACATACGGATATGAACTATAACTAATTAGAACTATAACTTTAATAAATATAATAATTTACATAAAATGAGATTACGAAAAGATGAAATTGATTTTTAATGAATTCGATTTGTAAGAATTAAATTTGAACAAATCGCAGAAACGGAGAGAGAGAGAGAGAGAGAGAGAGAGAGATAGAGAGGAGAAAGTAGTAAAATGAAAAAGAAACACAGAGTTAAAAAAAAATTAATTTGATAAATTAATATTGATCTATATAAGGATTAATTAAGGATTATAATGAATAAATTAATTTTAGCTATATTTGAAGATTTAAAAAAATAAAAAGAAAGAAAGTTCGAGAGGGATAAAGTGTGTGATAGAGGGAGAAAGAGACAAGAAGAAGAAAAACAACATTTTTAGTTTTAAAAAACAAAAAAGAAACAAAGTTCGTGAGACATGAAGTGATATAGAAATGGAAATAGATAAGAAGAAGAGAAACATCAAGATAAAGATATATACAGAGTAAGAGAGATAGATGTAGAGCGGAAGGTTAAAAATAGTAGAAGGAATTTTATAAATTAATAACAATATATTGGAAAAAAATAAAATTAAAAAAATATTTGGAAAAATTTAAGTCTCTTTAAAGAATTATCAAGTTTAATAAGCGTTAATGGACAATTATGACAAGATCTATAAATTTTGTTTAAATTGTAAATAACTATATCCGTTTTTATATTTTCTTTCTATTTAATAATATTTTAAATGTTGCAAATATATATTTAACTTTATTTTGTGCTTAAAATTAAACTGCTTTCACTAATATTTTCACTCTCAAGATTGTATTGTTGCCTACTATTTTGATTTGTTTATATGTTATTTCTCTTTTTTTTTAACTTTATGTTATTTTCAATTCTCTTACAGCTTTCAGATATTTAAATGTAATCACATTTTTATACTCTCTTATATTGTCATATAATATGTTTTTAGATATAATATATATATATACATATATACAAATATATGTATATATATATATATATATTAAATTTTTTTTGATGCTGTTGTATTTTATGTATTCTTTCTTTGTGTATAACAAGCAACAATTTATTTATATATATATATTTAATATGCAATTGTGTTTAATATCTGATGTTAAGATTAAAAGTGTATTACAAATTTAATTAGCTAAAATTTTTTATTATTATTTATTTACTAATTTTATAATAAATATATCTTAATCTGTTGTAATTTAAATTAATTTATTTTTGGGAAGAACAAATTTAAGGATCTAAATGTTTACGTTGTCTGGCTCTTGCTATTTTTCGTTGTTGTTTTGAGTTTTTTTTTATATAAGCAATTAAAATAAGTTTCAATTTATAATAAAATATATATATATTTAAAACTTAACTATATGTTTGTATATATAAAATTTATAATATTTTTCGAAACTATAAATTATGTAATTACAAAAGACTTTGAATAAGAAAAGTTCCAAAATTATTTAAAATTAGAAAAATAAAATTTAACAAATATATTTTTAATAAATAAAACATTTAAAAATAAATAGGTATATTGTTTTAAATAAATAAAATATTTGCTTTAAAATTTGATCAAATAAATAAAATATATTGTTGGTAATTTGTTCTAAAAACCAAAACAGTTATCAATGGTCCCTTCCGAATCAGGGTGTCCAAATAATCGAACTGATTGCATGTCATTATTGCATAGTTTTTCGTTCTTAAGGATTTTCATTTTAAATGATCTCAATGGTGATATACTTGCTTCTAAGGATATCATATCAACGTTAACTTGCGGTATAAATATTCTGTAAAGAATATGATTCATTAATTAAATTGTATCTTTATTAAAAGATAATAAGTAGGTTTTGAATTTCTCAAAGCTTCGTGAATATATTAAAAATGATTACTATGTTAAAAGTTATTTACTATACATATATCCTATCTAGTTCCACTAAACAGCTTTTGTGCTATTAAATAAACAAATAAATTGAAAAGTATTATATTTACTTCTTCTTATTATAAATAACACTTAAAATAACACTTGCTACATATAACTCTTTAATAACTTCCAATTGCTTATATCTTCAACATTATTTACTAAAGTAATAAAGTCAGAGATTGAAAATATATTCGTTATAAAGAGGGTTTTCTTGTCCATATTTTTACGCTTCAAAAAACAACAAATTTTTATTTAATTTAAATTTATATCGTATTAATTCTGAACTAAACCTTAGCATCAAGTGCCGGCTAACAGCACTTCGTTTCTTATTAGAAAATTAAATCCAAAAAATATGTTTAGACTATCTTTTATATAAATTTTAATGAATATAACTAAATATGTATAATTAACATATTTTTTAAAACCATATATACCAAACATATTTTTTAAAAAAATATTGAGAAAAAACCTATTTAAACAAAATTCTTATATTAAATTATATTAAAAACTAAGAAATATTTTAGATATTAATATAAATATATAAATATTAAAATATGTATATTAATATATATATATATATATATTAATGAAATGTAACAATATAGTGTTAAAAACCTGAAAATATAATAAAAACTAAAATAATAAAAAATAATATTTTTTTATTTTATAATCATATTATTAAATCTAAATAATGTGGCTATAAAATTGAATAAGTTAAAATAATTAAGAAAAAAAAATTTTTTTTAAATTTGAACCAAAAATATTTATTTAAATTAAATTTAAATTATATTAATTTATAAATAGTATAATTAAAATATATTTAAAGCAGCTGAAAACATATTTAATATATTTTTAATATAGTAAAATATAAATTTAAGTTTTTTTTTAAATATTGTATTTTAAAATTTTTAATGGATAACAAAAAATAACATATTTTGGTTTATTTTTTGTTTTCGTTATAAAAAAATTATTATAAAAATAAATATTTTAAATTTATAAATTATTTAACAACTTTACCATACAATTTAATAAATAAATATTTTAAATATTTTTAAATTCTTCTTTCATGTTTGTGTAAAATTATTTACAAAAAGATTTCTTAATAATATATACATATGGTATATATGTTATAGTATATTTGTTTTAAAAGGAAAACAAATTCAAAGTTTTAACTTCTTTGGTGTACAATTTATTTTACTTAAAAGAATTTTACTTAGTATTTGCAAACTAGGAAGCGCAGCTTTAAATATAGAAATATAACAACATTTATATATAAAGGATTTCGGATTTGAGAGCCATCCAACCTATAATGAAAGTTTAAAATATTTAAAATATGAATGAGAGTATATTTGTTTCTTGATAGTTGGAGATATTCTCAAAATTTTTAATTCCGTTCGATACAAACAGTTATTAAAAATGATCAATTCTTAAGTATGAATAATCTTAAGAAATAACTCTTCTGAATTTTATACCATATTTTCTTACTAGAGGAGTACAAATCTATTATTTAATTTTGTTCTATAAGCAACAGGGTATGGCTATGAATGAGTCGATTGCATTAACTGCAGTTGCTTGAACTGCCTTACAATGATTTATTTACAATAAAATTAAAGCACTAAAGTGCTTTAAACTGCACTTAAGTCCTAAATTACTCTGCAAGGATTAACGCCTTTATTTTGAATATTATGTCCTTTTTTGACCAAAAACTATATATTAGTTATGGAACGGGTTGTTGGCTGTTAAGTCACTTACGGGAAACACAATTCACTGATACTTTAAATAATGTTTTTTATTTAATTTAATTTTCGATATTTTGATTATCTTTTGTATTTCTGTTCGGGGACAATTAGTCCGTTTCATAATTGATATTAATGCTTATAATGATTTTGATAATGATTTTCTCATTTAGCACATTGTAAGAGCTGTGATATTTGTAAAAATCAACGAGGGCCATTCAATTCTAGAGAAGGGTCTTGAATAACACCCAAATACTATTGTGACTTGCACTTATTTGTTCTCAACAGCACTGCCTAATTAGCATTATATTGTATGTGTGCTGAATGTGTTTTATATATAATGGTATTCTTTTCTTAAACTTTATTTTTGACTCCTCAATTAATCATCGTTACCTAAACATCTCCAAATGAGATATTATTTTTAATAAAGAGTACGTTTTTTAAAAATAATTTCTGTTTTAGATTTTTGAAATAATTGAAGAAATGGAATAAAATTTACATTTTGGCACAAGCAAAATATTGGGCAATATTTTTGAAAAATATGTAACAATTGCAAAGGGGCTCAAGGGGTTGGGGATAATGTATATATAACTGCAGTATTTTCGTTTTAATAATTTTCTTTAACATTACCAATATAAATTTAATTAGGTATTTTTTTTTTATTAAATTTAATCATATGGAGAAAAAAAATATTCTTATACTTATAAGGAAAATAAAAAGAATTGTAGTATGTTTTTAAACATATTTAAAAGTTTGTAAAAATTATTATTTTTAGTTGCATATTGTATTGTATTTTATACATTTTCCTATTTAATGAACTAATGGAGTATTTAAAAAAAATATTTTTATCTCTATTTATTCTTATCTCTCTAAGATATTTTCATCTTTAATATGAATATTAAATTATATTAAATATTTAAATATTTTATTATATAGTAATAGTATCTTTTATATAAGCAAAGTGTACATAGTTGCTTTTTGATTTAATATTGTACCTATTAATTTAATTCTGTAATTTTTATTTTTTAAAAGCCTATAAATAATGCTAGAAGTTTTCTTACATATTTCTATAATTTTTATTTATCATTTCTTTTACTCTCTTAATGGCAAGTTCAAGTAAATTAATATATATAAATACAAAAATATACAAATAAATACAAAAGCAATTATTTTAAATTTACAAATTCATTGAAAAATTAAGTTTTTTTTTTGTTTTATTAAGTATGTAAGAGCGTTAAACAGAAAATAGTCTCAACTTGACATTGAAAAACGGCACATGAAATATTTTTTAATAATAAATAAAAACTAAAAACTAAAAAGGAAAAATAAAAATTAAAGTAAATAACAAAAAATTAATAATTAAAAAACTAAAAATAAATATCAATAAAAAAATTTTAATACTATAAAAATAAAATAATAATAGTAATAATTGGAATAATAATTTAATAAGCAAAACAAAAAAAATATGAATTAGAATTTTAAATTCATATAATAAAATATAAGAATATAACAATGTTTTAACAAAACTATTAACAAATTTAATATAAATTTCTATAAAAATAACAAGTGATTTATTTAGAAAGATATTAAAATTATTTTGAAGGTGCAATTTCTTTTATAAAATCGTAAAGAATAATTTAAAATAATAATTATCTTAAAAATAATGTAACAGTAGCATTCTTTCGGTATTGTTTTTAAAATAATTTTAAATTTAACAGTTTATTTAAAACTACAATTAAATATTTTGGATTTCGTTTCCACAAAAAAAAAAATTGTAATTAAATTTAATAATACATAGTACATATAAACATTAAGAATTAATGAACAATTACCGCCCAGGACACCGCTTTATTGTACTTTATAGCTTTCCATTTTGTAGTCCTTATGTTTTTTGTTTTCTTTTTCTTTGTAGTGGTTTTTAAGCATTCATTTAAATATTTTGTTTAATTTCTTTTTTTGTTAGTTTAAATTTATTTAGTATTAATTTTAAACACTTATGCTTTTATTCTATAACTTGACATGACATTGCCTTTCGTAAGGCATGCTTATGAGTGAGCTAACAAATATCCTTAAGGATGCTCTATTGTTACCGTTGGCATTAAACTTAAACTTCTTAAAATCCTGCGATGATTTCATAAGCTTCCAATGTGCTTATAACCAAGTATAGAACCCATAAAAGGAAGAAAATGCCACCGGTGAAGTACTTAAGACCAACTGCACCACCCAGTTCACCGCCTTTTCTGCGTCTATACATTAGCACGGCAAAAGCAATAATGGCTTCCGAAATGAAAAGTGTCACAGAAAACGCCAAGCTGTGTGTGCAGAGAATTGAAATACATAAATTGAAAATTTTTAATTGCTAATATAAAATTGCATCTAAACAGTTTCTATTTATTGTTGCTGTTTGTTGCTGTGCACCGTTTGGAATTTACTTACGTGCCCACCGATACTTGAAATGTGTTGCCATGCGCTGAGTGGTAGATAGCAGCCATCGTCCACGCCACTCCAATGCCAAGGAAGACATTCACTGCATTACTGCCAGTTACATTTCCAATACTCGCGTCTGCATACTTATCCTGAATTGCTGCTACTTTACTGGCAAAAGTATCTGGAAAATAAAAGGAGATTAAAAATTAATTGAAAGATAATTAAAAGGGATATGCAAAAATTGTACGTAAGCACAACTACGTAAAGTGCAATTAGATTATTGCATAGATTATAGATGAAATATTGGATTGACTGTTTCCACGTTCATAGAATTCCAGAAATCACTAAATGTTTTCCAAAATTTTATTGCGGATTTTATGAATTTGTTTTCACTTAAAAGCAAGGATAATATATTTATGATAACAAATGACTGGTTTGGTTTTTGTCCAGTTTGGATCAAGATGATCTTGAGATCTGATAGAAGGGTTTATCTGCCTAATTTTGTTTATCTCAACTCAGATATTTTTATTTGATTTACAGATTGCCCGTTGCAAATGGGCCCTTTGCAATTGGGCACAATACATTCTTGAGTCTTTATTATCTTTAAAATAAGAGTGGAAAAGCCTTCATCTTAATAATAATAATATCAGAGAATCGATACTATAATTCAATTAACTATTGAATTAACCTTTGCAATGAGCAGTAGATATTATTTTATCAAAGAAAGAACTGCATTTCTGATTTCATCAAATTTTATTATTACATTACCTATGTTTATATGAATATACTATAATTCTTGTATATTTTATTAGTATAGAAATTTACCTGGTATACTTGTTCCAAGTGCGACAAGGCAAATGGCAGTGACTGCATCTTTAATACCAAGTGTACAACCAAAATGTGAAGCCACATCTCCTATTACAGCTGTAATAATGCCAATCACTGAAATGGATATGGTGAAGCATAAATAGCCACCGGCGACATCTAAAAAGTAACAACAATTAATAATTTATAAAAACAAAAACCCATTATACAAATCTATACAAAATTGTAAAAATTTATTATTATCCTTCATTGATCCTTCATTGCTTAATTCCTTAAATTTTAAATTATGTATATTCCTTGCTTTTAAATTAGTAAGGAAGCCACATAACATACATGAAATTTAAAATATCTGGATTATTCGGAGTAAACAAACTATTGTGCTTGTTTGGTTTCAACTAATTATGATAAAACGAATTATGTGTATATTTCGGACTTTTCGAACTGATTCTTCGGTTATCAAAGTATTCGAAAAGTACGAATACTTAATCGGTATTATAAAATTAATAGGATTTTTGATTTGCCGTTTACTTATATTTCAATAACCTCATTTCTTTCTTTAAATGGTGTTAAATTTATTCTCAGTCCAGTTATGGATTGTTATCAAAGCATTTTTAAGACTAATCAAGTTTTATGTGTATATCACTCTACTGTTACAGTAATAATAAGTAAAATATTATTTAATTTTATATTTACTTGTAGGTGGGATGAATGCAAACAATATTTTCCAAAATATTGTTAAGAAATGCATAATATAATCCAGACAACTAGGAGTACTACTTTCGTCCTCTTCATCGTCATCATTGTTGCCTGCGTTTGTTCAACATTAATGAATAAAAGATTTTAAGTAACATTTTTAAAATATGTAGTTTATTTTTTAATATTATATATATAATTTACCTGCACTCACTGTAAGAGCTTCTGTGAACTGTTCCTTCCAGGAAGATGTCCCGATCAACAAAGACGCATTGGTTTTTTGAACGAGCTTGTCAACTGTGTTCTATTGATGAGTAAATAAAAAATTTATAAATTTAATATGATTAATAACTTTAAATTTTTGTTAGTAGATATAAAAAGAAAGCCTGCATTAAACATCAGATAATCAGATAACTAGCATAAACTCTCTGATTAGTAATATGTAAAATTCGAATTAAAATATTACAATTCTCCTGTGTAACAACTGTAAACTTAATGTTGGCAATTTCAAGGCGGTACCTTAGCAACAATAAAAAAGGAAAAGAAAAAAATAAAGTTTAAAAATTAGGCGTAGTAAAAAGAAATCCATTATTTTCATAATATATGCCTTAAGTTATCTCTACCCCGTGTGCATAAGTCCGATCGGGTTATGCTAGATGATGTTAGATAAACTTTTGACGCTTTGGTAATTGGTGACTCAGTTTTGTTTGAGCGAATGGCGATTAAGTGGAACCCGATGGGCAGATCTTGGAGAAGGCACTTGGAGAAGTCCAATTGATATGGAAATATCACACAAGAGGTAACGCTAGAGAGAGTTGAAGCTACTAGCCAACAACTGTACCGAGTGGAAGATCTTTGTTGCGGCCCTATACTCCTCCTAGGAGTTAAAGGATTCAACATAAATATATATATATATAAGAGGATGGTTTGATAAGTCAGTGACTGCAACAGTGCTGCCGTCAGTTGTAATCTACCAGTGGGCAACTTTTTAATTTTAAGCAAGCTACGTCGTTCAGTTCGTGTTTGATAGCCGTTCAAAGCAGACAACCTCGTGGATTTTTACGAAAACGGAAAATCCACTGACTTATCAAACCGCCCTCGTATATAAATTTTAAGGAAGGAAGTACTACTTTATCACGATATTTCAATCACAGGTCTACATATAATACTAAAGCACAATACGCATTATTCCGAAATCAACGGCTGCTATTTTAATTTATGAAAACATTTGTTTTTTTTTTTCATCAAAAACCGAAGTAATAAATATTAAACATGAAACAATAGCCCAAAAGGTAGACGGAACGTGCGTGCCCAGAGTACGAAAACTTGTCGTCAAGCATGTTTGAATGCTTTCGGCGACCGTAGAGCAGAACGGAAACTGTGGTTGTTTAGTTGAAAAATAAACCAACACAAATAAAGACATTTATTTTGTTAATGAAGATGTCAAACAACCGATAACACACAACAGCACAAAACCAACAGCAATAGCAGCTACGAAATTACGGTAATTTGCTTCGTGTACCACAAAAATGATGCAGCATGTCAGAGAAACCCCTAACACATACGACTACCTACGTATATGGCTGACTCACATTTATGTGTATATGTTTATGTTTATACACATGTATGTACGTATACATGATGAGTACGTACGGCTATGTTTACAAAGAAAACGAGTGTTAACTATGCAAGCAACGTTTGATAATGTTTAAAACATAAAGTACTCGTATATGTGTTTGCCCACACTGAAAAAACTAAAATAAAAAACGTAAAAAATTGGCACAAAAACGTCGGCCATAGGTAATAAATTTACTAACATTTGAAAACGCACACTCTTACTCTTACACACATTGAATTTGTTGGTTTGCTTAACAAGAAATTAGTAGTGAGCATTGTAGTGGTGAGCAATGTTGCCCAAATCGCAAGGCTTTGCACTTCTGCTCAGTTAAATCTGATTTGTGTTGATATGCCCGCTGCTATGCAGTGTTGCGCCGTTTTGTTGCTACGCTATGTTGCCAAAGTGGATTACATATTTCGTTGGGTATTTTTGGTTGCAGATGGTGTGCAATGTACAAGTATAGGCAACTGCAGCATTGTCAAGCATTGGCTAGGTTTGTTCCTCGTCTGTGTGGACTTTATGTGTGGACTGTGTATTGTTGGAAATTTCAAATGAAAGTGCATAAATGTTTATTTCTTTGTTTCATCAACTTTTCACAGTGTACAGTGTACAGTGTACATTGTTGGCAGCTTAAGCCTTCTAACTTAATGAAATAAAGTAAATTCATACAAATATTTTTGAATCCTAAACAAAAACTATAACGAAGGCATATGCATATATGCATAAAAATGTAAATACGCCCTGTCAAAATTTATGAGCGCAATGCAAAGTGAAACGTACATTGCAGATAAACAAATCCGTAAAGGCAGTATATGAACAGCTCGAGGCCTGACAGAAAAAGTACTTTAGTGCTTTCCTCCATAGCAGTACTGAGCCTCGCAGATGATTGCCATTTAGGAGTATTGCTGCTATTGATGGTTTTGTCGAGTAAGTACAGTAGTAGGAAATATATTAATCCACTTTCCTGCAGGGTAATATTGGTTGGGCCTTTGGGCATTTGGACATCTGAGATATTTTTATATGTATGGATGTGTGTGTATGTATGTGTATTTTGGGAAAGTGTGCGCACTTGTTCTCACATGTAAGCACACGTGCCGTAACAGTTAACACGATTGTCTATGGAGGTTCTTGTTTCGAAAAGGATTTAGCACATTTTCACAGATCTGAAAATGTTATCATTGAAATTTATTTAGAATTTTTTTCCATCCGATTTCATCTTCATTCTGGTTATACATTCAATTAAAATATCGTACTAAAGTTAAGGATTCACTTCGAAAACTTAATTGGGCACTTAAAAGTTTTAAATTTCTAAGCAAAATTTAGTAGAAAAATCTTGAGATTTTACTTTTTTGAACTTATTTGTTAAATAAGTTTTTGCTGGCAAAAAAAAAATAATTATTTCTCCTTCCTCTTCTTAATTTAGTTTTATTTAAGTTGTGAAATTTGAATCCAATTAAATTGAAATCTTAACTAAAAAATAGTTTTTCTTAATGAATAATTAAAATTCTACTAGTAATTTTATTAAATAGATTGTGTTATTTTTAAAATTAATTTAAAGTTTTTTTAAGTAAAATAATTTATAAAGCATTTTATTTTTTTTGGAGAATAACTGCTTGAAATGATCTAAAGTGTGTTAAATTGTGCAACTAAATCTTCACACATGATATAATTATTAAATAAGTTTAAAATTTATGATATGAACAAAAAATTATATACTTATTCACAATATTGAGAAGATAATTGGGTTAATGTTAGTTATAAAAGGAGAAATGTTTGGAGAATAAGTATTTGGTAAGAGGATCTTTTTATAGTGCTTAGTCATAACTACATAACTCTATTTTCTTACAAATAAAAATGTGTTATCATCTATAGAATATATGCCAGGTATCAGATTTACAGTTATTTAGATAGACAACATGTGAAGTTTTCTTTACCAGGTAACGCTAACTATATTAGATATATAATAAAACATTAATTTGTATTGGATATTAGTATTAAAGTTTCTAATCAAATAAGATACTATATAATTCTATATACCGGTGATCCTAAGAATCCACTTAGGTCTTTTAGTACATTTGAGAGTTTGGCAAAACTTAAAATACTTTTTAGAGGGAAGCACTGGAGTGCGCTATGGTAGCCTCTTCCTAAAATGGAAGCCCCTAACATTATGTTCGGCGCCGCGCATAGTCTAAACAGTCGTAAAGCAGATATGAGACACTTTGTCAGACACTTCATTTGTTATTTATAAGTTTTATATTAAATAAGTACTGTGATGCTTTAAAGAATTCAGGGATTCAGATTTATATCCATATCATATCAGGATGTATCAGGAAAAATTAATTTTAAGCATAAGTAAATATTTACATTTTGTCCCATTATCGTTCTTAACAAAAATGTTTTTCAAAGAGTGCATAGTCTACTAGGAACGTTATAGGTTAGAATGGAAATTTTGTGCTCAAAGCCCACTTGAGCTGAAATAATGGAATTTTGTGTATTTGTTTTTGTGCTCAAATCTTCAGTTTCTCAAACAAATTGAAGTTTTGTGACTGAATTTGTATATTTTAGTGTTCAAACCTCCAGTTATGTACACAATATCTCTCTAAAGAACATTATAGTTTTCTATGTATAGTTCATAGTTACTTTCTATGTTTTACTGATCATTTACCTTTCATTTTAAATGATCAGTATGTTCATAATATTTACTGATAAAACGAATAAATTTCTTGTAGGATCTCAAATTACAATCACCTACAAATCACCTTAGAATAAATAAGTTATATAAATTAATTATGATAGGTACTTACCCTGAATTCTTTACTTTCTTTAATTCGCAATTGTGCGCGGACAACCTCACCAAGTTTCGGCCGACCCAGAAGTGCCATTTTCTCCTCTTCTGTCAGATCTTCTGGTGGCTTCGACTCGGCGTTCTGAATTAGTCCTATTAATTCGTCATCTTTATTATTGTTGTTCATATAGTCATTTATATAGTTGTACATATTATAGCGATGTGTAGAGTTGTTTATATAGTTGAACATTTAGTTGTGTATACCGTTGTATATATATATTTTATATGTAGTTGAATATATATGTGGAGAGAGTACATACGTAATAGAAATTTATTTAAAATATTTGTAAAAATGTTTTGATAATATATCTCGTGTAAGTTTAAAATTAATAATTATTTCGTTACAGTCATAAGAATTATAATAATATTTATAAAGTGTTATAAAAGTAGTTGTTGTAATATAATAATTAATTATCAATATGCAAGACACACGCACACAGACAAAAAAATATAATAATAATAACAAAAAATATATAACATAGAATATAATAACGTATTTTACAAAACTTTTATTTACACTTAAAAGAGTGGAAAAAAGAAAGTAATACTTTGAAAGAAAGGAAGTAAGAAGCATGCAAGAAGATGACGTAAACGTCTTTCCAATGCAAAGGACATTGACACTGACGTAAGCATGCTAAGAATATTTACACATTTTTATAATGAGAACATAGGGAGCGGGACGTGGTCTCGGTGTGGGTCGAGTAGCGCTAATTTGCTCATAGGAAGTATACAATTTGGTGGGATTTGCAAATTGGACGTTCGGTTGCTTTTGACCGTTGGTGCGTATGGTTGGGGGAAAATTGGTGTGGTGGGGTAGTGTGGTTGGGATACTTTTTGGTAAGTAACAAATCTAATTAAAATATTTCGTAGCAGCGCAAAAATACATTTCAGATGATGATGAAATGAAAATTTACAAATTTGGTTATAAAACAAATTTTTTTTTAGCTTAAAATTCGTACGTCGCTAAAGTGAGTGAATCTAAAATAGAAAAGATTACAATTATTTTCTTTTAAGTTATTATGATTTATTTTACTTGTTTCCAAATAAATTTTGCCTTGGTTTTAGCATTGGGAAGATACTCGTTAAATTGAGACTTGAGTTTGACTGAGTGGTGGTATGAGCTTACTTTAGTTTCTTCATGATATTCAATATCAAAGTTACAAAATCAAATAAATTCTATAACATGAAACATCAAAACATCAAATAATAGCGAAGAGTTACGAAAATGACGAATATTATTTTTCGATTATTATGAATTAAAAGTGAATAATATCGGAGCAGTTACCAACATTCTGTATGTAATAATCATGCATTCCGAAGAGAAGCGCTAGTAGTAGTACTAGCAACAGTTATTGTAATAATCATCGATTATATCCAATATTATATTTTAAATTTAACTTTTACGAAGGCCGACTTGATAGCACGATGCCTATATGCTGAAACTACGGTTTCGTTTAAGTTCCATCTATTTGCAAAAATGTCAACTTCAACATCTAAATAAAACCTTATCGGAACGGACCAACGGCCAGCCAAATTAACTTAACCTTACCTAAGTTATCTATTTACAGAAAGTTTCTAAATTGTTCAAATAAATACTACGAAATTTTAGTAGCTCAGCAGCCTATTTTAGGGGCTATAATTATATTATAAAGAATATAAATTTCTTGTTGGATTTTCAAACACATTTGCATTAACACAATTATGTTTGTCTACTATGTGTAAGATTAAAATAAACTATAAATTTCTTTAACGCGTTATAGCGTTATATTCTATAACAATATAGAATAAAATAGAATTGAATATTAACACAAAATGTTGCAACTAACTTCAACAGAACGAAATCCTTTCAGAATTTTAAATAAAGGTTATAATGTCTTCCATTGATGAGTTTCTAATACCCGACTTAGACAGGAGTTCCTACCCAAGTTTTTTCTTCTTAGCTTAGATCAATTTGGGAGTATGTGACTATTAGCCTTATCGTCTAAGAGACAGAAGCAACATTCAGACAAATCTCTCTTCTTGTGATAGAAATCCTAGCTCAGTTCTAATAAGAAAAGCCGTCTTTTCAATAAACATATTTGTACACTCATTTCAATAAAAAGGACTTAATTTTAATTCGAATAGAAAGTTTGTATAAAAATTTAACTTTATTGCATAAAATGAAACTTTTACTATAAAAAAATACTACAGAAATATTTTCCTTTTTCTTAGATTGAACTTAACTGCTTATGAGATACTGTGTTAAATATCGGCTATAGTTTTTTTATCATGTTATTTGTTTGCTAAAAATAAAATATTGTTTATTGTTTTATTGTAGTTTGATTATAAATTTTAAATACTTTTTTATATATTTTTTTAGTCTATAATTTCAATTATAATTTAATTTATTATATTACTTTATTTTAAATTAATTTTGTTATATATTATTTTTAATTTTCTTTTATTTAAGGTTATAAAAATTTTTTATTTTGTTTATTTTTATATATTTGGTTATGTTTAACTTTTCTTTTTATTTTAATTAACATTTTATGTAATTTTATTTTTTCATATACTTTCTTTTGTTATTTATTCTTTTACTTTATTTTAATTTACTTTTGTTTTAGTTTACTGTGAAATTTTATATCATTTTGTTTCATTAAATTATTTTATATTATCAAATTTTATCTTATATTATTTTAAATAAATTTATGTTTATTTCATTATTATAATTATAATATAAAAAATAATTATTTTTTATATAACATTATTCCATTGTTATTATTATTATTTCACATTACTTAATTTTATTATATTTCATATAATTATTTTTATTTTTTATTAGTTTTTATATAATATTATTCCATTATTACTATTATTTATTTTATTTTATATCATCACACATTGATAATAATAAATAACAAACTTCTTTTTGAAGTTTTATTTTAATTAATTATATTTTGTTTTATAATATTTCATATAATTATTTTCTTTATTATTTTTATTATTATTTTTTTATTTTCTTAATTATTTTTTTTTTTATTATATAGTAAAATATACTATTATATATTATTATTTGATTTGTATTACTATTATTATTTGATTTTATTTTTTTTCATTTGATAATATATCTTTATTTATTTAAAAATCTTTTTATTTTGTTTTGTTTGAAACATTTATTTAAAATATTACATACAGGGTGTTGGCTTCACAAACAGTTACACTTAACACTTGACAATCTGCATTATTTTCATCGCATATTTAAAATGAAATAAAAACATTAAGAAACGAAAAATTCTGATATTTATTAATTAAATAAAAGAATAAAAGAAACATAAAAAGGCAAAAACCAAAATCAAAAATTTTTTCCATGAATTTTACTTACAAAATTGTGGATTTTAAATATTTTTTTGATATTTGTAGGAATTCAAATTTGAGAAGCGATGAGTTCGATAGTTAGATTGATAGATTGATAGATAATTTGACCGATTGTTTGTTTGATTGACATTTTCGTAATTGTTTTTTATTTATTGAATTTCATGTAGCGTTCAATTGCGAATTGCATTTGTTTTGTTTTATTGTTTTTTTTTGTTTTTTTTTTTTGATTTAGCGTACGAATAATTGTTTTTTTGTAGATGTTTACAACAGAAAAATAATCAGTAGTCAGTAATCACAATCAAATTAATCGTTATAGAAGTTGCAGTAACGATTGCATTTGTTAAAGAAGTAGAAGCAGTAGTGACGAATTAGCACAATTTTTTTTAGAAATATTTTTTGATATTTTTGCATAGATTTTGTTTTGGTAGTTGGTGATTTTTTTGGTGTTGGTCAATCGCATACACATATCGCATATCGCATAGATGGAGTATGGTCAACGTTATATTGTCGACGTCGTTGTGGTTGTTGGTCAGATACATTTACAGAAGTTGTCGTAAGAGTAGAAGTATAGAAGCCCATTTAAATGATACAAGCGTGCGAGATACAAGCAATTCACAGTCCGATGAAGTATCCAAAAATGTTAAATTTCAGTTAAAAAATTAAATGTTTTTTTTCATACTTTTAAAAGATTTTCTAAAATTTTGCAAAATTATATTTTGTGTTGTATAAAAAAGTTTTTATTTATTTTAATATTTTTCTCTAAATATTTTTCAATAAATTAATAATATTTAATTGTGTAAAAAATAGATGAAATATATTTATATTTAAAATGAATTGAATTCAGTAAGTTTTCTTCAAGTTTAACGTTTTAAATTCTATAAAATGCATTTTAATAAAAAATTTACTTAAGTAATAAATTTCTGTGATGTTCACGTAATTCAAGAACATTTTCATTTTTTCAACACTTGAAGAGACAAAAAAAGCGCAAAAATATTAAAAAAAAAGTGTTTTTAAATTAAAAAAATTAATCACAAAATTGTGCAAAAATGCTGTGAATAGAAGAGAAATATTAAATGTTAACACTCTACTTGACAGTTACCACTACAGTTACCAGTACCCGTACATATCTATATACATAAATATACATATTTTTTGTTTGAAAGATACAAGATACATGATGAATTGGAAATGATGGAAAATGCTTAGCGAAATTATTTTGAGGACGATACACATTTACCGAAAGACATTTTGATGTAATTTTTTTCTTTTTGAAGGATATATAATTTTTGTCAATTATACGTTCATATAGGTATAATGTATTTCAATGTTTCGTATGTGCTGTAATTGGTGAATATCTTACTCAAAGGAAAACAACAAAAGTTTTAAATGATTTTGTGTAGTTTTTCATTTTCTTTTTCTCACGTTTAATTTCAAGTTTTTCAATCAAAAAATTTCATTTAATAAGTGCATGCATCTTATATTCAGGAAGGGTTTTTTTAATAAAACTGAAAATTTACACATATATCGCAATAACGTTTTGTTATGAACTATTAACATAAAACAAATTTAAAGTATTTTAAAGATATTTACTAAGAGCCCTATATTCTTACTAAGAGCGATGTATTTATCCAAAGTATAATACATAAATACAATAATAATAATAAATGTTTGAATAGTAAATATAACACTTACTATGCAATTGAGAATAATTTTTACTTACAAGTTATTTTAAGTTCTTTTGTTTTATTATTATAGGCTAAATTTAAATTGATCCTTACTCTACTCACACATTAGTTATATAGGCATATATATGTAAAGTATAAATTTTAACTAAATTCAATCTTCTCTTGTTAATTATTATATTTCATTTAATTAAAATTTTAAACGTGGCAAGCAGCAATTCAACAATTGGAGTACAATTAATCTAAATTCAATTTGTGGATTTCGCTACAAGGAAACCAAACTCCATTTTATTTACTCATATGATATGTATCCATACATAACATACATATGTGTATACTTGAACGCATACGAACGGAAGTCTTTTCATATTAAACAATGAAAACTATTTCGAACAAGTTTACAGATTTTTGCAGAAACAGCAGAAAAGTTCCTTTCAATTGCAATACAAAAGGTCAATTGATTATATCCTGTGCATTGTGTACGCCGAGGAATGCTCGATAAAATGTTCGATGTCTTTTGTGCACTTACATTCTCAATTGTACTACGAAATGAACAAGACTTTTGCTTTTGCTTAAGTTGTAGTCTACTTTTAGGGTCAACAGCAAAATATTGCTTATGTGTTTGCAGCGAAAAAGAATTGTTGAAGATACTGGAGTTGCAGTGACTTAAGACAAAATTCATTTATAATTACATTCTCTACTTATTATAGTTTAAAAATAAAAACAAAATATTTATAGTAATAATTAAAAATTGTTTGCGCTTATACTGACTACTGAAAGTATTAAAAGAATAAGCCATTTAAGGTCAAAATTTGAAATGAAATATATGAAAGTAAAAAAATCTAATATATCTAAATATATATTATAAATGTATTTTGTGTATAAAAAATCTAATATAAATAAATATATACTATAAATATATTTTGTGTACAATAATATGCAAATAAAAATATTACGTACACATATTAGTGCATAATGTCTTTTAGAATGAAGGAACACTAAGATCAGTTGTTCGTTAGTGAAGTGTTGTTTACCTTATATATTATATATAGTTTATTATTATCTATAAATAAATTATTCTTCTTCTTACACATTGAATTTAATTAGTCGTAACCTAGTTAATTGGTAAAGTAGACTAGTTAGTGGACAATGAGAACTAAATCAAAAATTTAATCCGATCGACTGAACTCTCTAAATATGAATGAAATTGAAGTACTATTGTTCGTAATGAAGTAGTCCTAAGAAATGGAAATATTTCCGTCACTTTTTGCTTTATAAAAATTGAACGAAATTCAGAATTATGAAAAAAGTTAATTCAATAGATCTGGTGATCTTTCATATTAACTGTTGTATGATAGTTATTAATATTAATAATTTGTGAGATTTTATACTATATTTTAAAGTTGTTTTGTGTACTTTACAGGGATGCACATTATTTCAGAAAATCTCATTTTTCACATAGATTGTAGCATAGAATCTACTTTTGCAAATCGTTAGATATAAGATGCTCATCTATTCCAGTACGCACTTTTACTCTTTCTTTTCTCTAAAAACCCTGTATGTATGTATGTATAGATGATATCAATACTCAACTGCAAATGGGAACCTATTATTTGTATAATTATAAGAGATATATTATTATAATATATATATAAATTATATTGACGTTAATACAAGGAGATACATTTGTTGTTGCGCTTAAAGAACACGAATAAGTTGCGAATATATCAAACTTGACTCGTTAAATGAAACTTTTTTTGTGAGCTTAGTATTATTTAATTCATGAATTCTTGATAATTTATTAAAAAAAAACTCATCTTTTTTAATTTATTATTTCATCACACGATAACGATAAACGATAAAGTTTTTTGTTGCTTTCCATTGCATTAAATTTACTACTCACAAAATTTGATGTTTTTGGTGGATTGAAATAGTACGAAGTTTTTGTTGTACTTGTATGTTTATTTATATGTATTTTTATGTATATGTCTGTTTTGTTTTTTATTGTTAGATATCTGCTATAAAGCAACTATTATTAAAATAAATAAAAAAATATTCAATTACAGAATGCATTCAGTAAGACAGACAGTTTGAACCATTTATAACGAACTTAATTAATGACGATTTTTTGGTACTTAAATGGGTAAAAAGGAGTAAGAATAAGAGGAAAGGAGTATAGGAATAACAACATAGTGTTATGAGATCTCTTTATGAACCATATTTTTTTATGTAATGGTATGGCTATTACATATATTATTTAAAATACTTTAACCAATTAAAATAATGATTGCTGCATACAATTTACCATTAATAATCAATAAAAAAAACGCTATAGCTAAATATTTAAATGCTGAGTATAGCGTTACAAGTAGCAACAACAAACACTAATATTTAGCTACAGCGTTTTTAAGAGTCTAGGAATAAATGGCAACTTAGGATATAATAATTCAATGGATGTGAATAAAATTTGAAGTACGGCAAATAACTTAAAAGGTAAATAAGAAACAAACCATCTCCTGCAGTTCCTTGAGGTTCGTTATATCTGGTGCCTACTGTAAAATTAAAAAATAAGCATTAGTAAAATATAGAAATGCTTTTAACAATCACATAAATTACCAAATAACCATTAACACTGAACAACAAAAACAACAAAAACAACAAGAACAACAAGAACAACAGGAATATGAGAAAAACATTGTCGAACAATTTCAGCGTGCAATTTTGAATTTTAAGGTAAATTTTTTCTAATATAAAATATTTACGTAAAATCAGACACAGATACAGACACAGAAATAGACACAGATACAGAGACAAAAACAAATGAAAATGAATGTGAAATTCATTATGAATTTATTTATAATGAGTACAAAAATTATTTAGCACGCTATTACAGAATATTACGGAAAAGGATGCTAAATTGCTAAATTGCTAAATGATTGTAATTTTGTAAAATTACTTATTTATTTATTTATAATAATAAAAAATGATGAGAGAAAAATGGTTTCATTGAATTTGTGCAAATTATATTAAAAGAATAAAATATAATTTTTGTTTAATATTGGATTGTATTTTACATGTAAATAAATATTTATAAATTATAAAAAAGGTCAAATATTCCATGAGAATGAATTTGAAAACATAATTTTTTTACTTTTGTGTGGACGTTGTGACTTTTATGTAAGGATTTGCAACGCTGGACAAATTGCCATAGTTAAAGGACCAACATGCACAACAAAAACATACCCAAACAAAATACATTTATTACATACCAAAAATTCTGTTCAGAAAACTAAAGGCGTCCTTTTTAGTGCTATTTTCTGCAGGGGGAAGTATGAAAAATTGATGTAGGATTTTTGTTTTTAAAGAAAATTTGAAGTATTTTATTTGACATTTAAAATAAAAATATAAAATATTAAATATTTGAAATATTTTTATTAAAAACACGAACTCATGAGCTACAACTCAAACAATACTAAATGGTACGGATGACAGGCGTGGTTGAAATATATGCACTTTTTAACTGCTATCATTAATGAACAAAACATAAATTTATATACACTAAACAAACTAATCTATGTGGTTAATTTAAAACTATTCTTTTGTATATATACATAAGTATACTCACTAGACATAGAGATATGACTTTTAGCTTCTTATTATTCATTTTTCATATTTTGAAAAGGAACCAAATATTTTTGTAGCATCGAGAATGCATCCTTTTCATATTAACACGAAGTTTCTTATATTAATTTAATAATAATTTTTTTAATTATCGAATTTCATAACTCTCTTTTAATAATTAATTATAGAATATCATATTAACAAAATTTTGTTGTTCAGAAAATATCTTTTATCAAATATACTCCTATGTATACTCCTTTCTTTATTTCATACTATTTGAATACATCATATTATGTTTTGACTTACTTTCTGGAAATCCTAGTCAAATTTTTAACATCTTTATGTTCAAAGGGGTTTTAAAAACTATATGAGTTTTATACAGCAACAAAATAATCCACTAATTCTAAGTGGATTCTTATGATCAGACGATAACTTAACATTATCTTGCCCTTGAATTTATTTACAGTAGGAGTATATTGTTATACTTCTATAACTTCTAAAAGAAATTAAATAGACATATTGAATACTGTTAACTTATTTATTTACTATTAGCTATAATTTTTTGGACCTATTATCAATATCATTACTGACCAGTTCGTTAAATTGTTTAGAAAAATGCTAAGACCAATTTGGTATTTTTGTTGGTTTTATAATTTTAACTCGATGTTTCATTGGTCAACAGATTGAGAGGTGTCTTATAGTCATATTTTCCAAACAAAATATTTTTAAAATCACTTTCTTTTATTTTAGTGTGAGTATCTAATTTATAACGAAAAGACCAGCTTAGTCTAAAAAAGCTTCTTTTGGATTATTTTAAAACTTTATTATAACAACTAGCTAACTAGGATAAATCACATCCCTAAAAAGTAATATTTAAAATAACTCATTACTTGTATGTCAATATATAGATTTCCAATTGGTTTTAAACCATAACATGATTACTAGTTAACCTTAATTAAAGATAAACTATCTAACTAAATCGTTTGTTATATTGGTATACTCTTATAGGCGTTTGGAACACTTAAGGACATGATAACGCATGTATATATATATATATTGTGCAGTAATTGGAGAGTGCTATAAAAGATTTTTCGATATCCTGTGCTTTCTTAAATATAATTTTAGCTTAAACTATTTACTACTACCATTTCTTAGTTTAAATATTTTACATACATCGCATTCAGTTGTTGTATATATTTACTTGAGTACAAATTTCAACCATGCTTTCAACTTATAAACTAAGGATTTACAGCTTATTTACATTATGTGCATACAGTATGAAGGACTTGGGTGATATGGGGAAGCATGTGGAGTTTGGAATTGGTAGAAAGTTTTTACATAACTATTTAGATTTAGGAAAAACTACACAAGCCTTGCATATGCTTTAAGGCGTGGGAGTTACACACAATCACAGCACGAAGTTGCCAGAGTTCACTAAATTATTTTCACTACTTTGGATTCAACTACATTTACAGATGAACTACGAGGAATGCGCTGAATAATGAATATGAGAAATTCGATTTTGCAAAAAATAGTAAGCAAATTGAATTGGAAAAAAAAATTAATCAAGAAACTAAAAGCTATAACTCGCACAGAAACGAAAACGAACAACCAAAATTTGGTACTTTTTGCATAATGTTATCAAAAAAAAAAAAAAAAAATTAAAAAAGAAATTAATTTTAAATAATATTTTCAACAAAGTGCGAAGCTAAAAGTTAAACTAAAAATAAATTAAAAAATATAATTCAGAACAAAATCTGTTCAAACTCGATTTAGGGTTGCACTTTTTTTGGTCGACATTCTTTTGGCAAAAGTTTTATGCGTATTTTATATATTTAATATTTATATATGAAGTTTAAATTTTGAATAAATACATAATATCGTATATCGTAATATCGTATATCGTAATAACGTATATAACATTTTAAATTCGTGTGATTGTGTTCTTTGAATTTCATTCTATTTTTCGTCTAAATAAAAAATACTCGTATTTATATTTTTTTTTATAGTATATATGGTAATAATAGTATTAATAAAAATTTAATTTTTACTGAAATTTGTGGTAGGTACTAGAAGCAAATAAATAAGAGACGGAAAGAAAAAATACAAATTTCATTAAAATTCTGTGGCATTTCCAATAATTCTTCTTTTTTTGATGCTTAAAATTTAATATTTTGTGTGGTTTTTTAATAATTCTAAGAGTTTTTAGTTACACAAATGAACTGTTTTTGTATATGTAATTGTGTGGAAAAATATATTACAATAGAGTTTAGTCAAGAGTATATTAGTGTTTGTGTGGATCTGTGTGTGTGTATATATTTCTAGAGGCGAGTCAGCGTTATTTTATTTATTTATAATTTTTTTTTTTGATAATGAACGCTGAACTGCTCTTTCGAAGTCAAGAATATTGTATATCTTGCACCCATAAAGGAAGGTCTTTATGGGTTGGATTGGTAATGAAAATCGAGAGTAGGAGGAAATGATTTAATAGGAGAGGAAGTTAGAGGAGTTAAGTTAAATGTTGATGGTTTGGAAAAAGTTTGGTAGATGGTTTGGTGAGTGAGTGAGTATCCTATTTCATTTCTTTCGCTACAAGTTAAATGAATTCATTTAAGATGTTTTTGAATTTGAAGTTTTACCTGGGGCCAAGACGGGTGCACCAATGTTGACATAGAATAGGACATCCTTCTCATAGCTTCCTTCTTCCACGATTCCCAATGGTATCACTTTCCTATAAAGCAAAAACAAAAATAACATTGTAAGAATTTTATAATGAGCATTTTCGCAAAGAATATAATATGAATTTGTTTTGTAGTTTGCTTTTTGCTAACGAGTAAATAAATTGAAATTCTTACGCCCCGTAACTGCACAAGGCAGATGTATCTGCATCTAAAGTGAAATTTATGAATAATATTTTCATGATAACTAAAACTATTAAAAACTTATTAGCAACTTAATTGGTCTGTTTTCAGTTTAGTTTATTTTTGAAAGCTGCAATTTATTTTGTGGGCCAAGACATATAAATTTAGCTACACTTGAAAAAATTTTGCGATGAGAACTTTAAAAGGATTTAATAATATTTAGCCAAAACACAAAAATATTTCTTTCAGTTAAGAATGTGATGATTTTAGACAAAAATTGATGTGAAATCAAGGTATAAATACAACATTTAGGGTTTAATAATAGTAAAAAAAGAGAGAAACCTTAATTCCAACATTCAATACCAAATAAATGTACACAAAAATCTAAACCATGTAGATGGTTTAACATATTCGCAAATTAAGTACGATCAAAAGTGAAAAAAAGACTTAAATGAATGCATTAATAGGCAATCATAGAAATGTATCTGAGTAAAGCTAAATAAACTTGAGCAGATAAAACCTCGTGTCAGATCTCAAGATCGACGTGGTGCAAATTGGACAAGAAATATACCAATCAGCTAAGGCCTAACCTGTTTAGCACTACGGTTTTGATACTGACGTTCACTACGTACAAGTACGACATGCTATGAGATTAAGCCTACCCCATAATGATTTTTGTCGGGGTTACAGTTCTACGAATGAGGAGGAAACTGAACATCACCTCACTATGTCAGAGTCAGCGTCCATCATTAGGTAGGAGGAGAACAAAATCTATGAGATTTCTATTTTACTGACCTGAAATAGCTATCATCACTTCTACTTGAATGAGGAAATCTTACATTATAGTATAGGTTTCGCTGATTACTGGGGTTTTTTCGGAAATTTATCAGATCTGCGTATAAACAAAGCTAATCCGTGGTCTCACTATGGATTATTACTTGAGCTCGAATGGGTTTTGGGCACAAGGTCGCCAGTCGAACATAACCCAACCTAACTAATTTTTATTAAATAGATTTATTTTAATAAAAGATACTTTATACTAAATTAATATGCTATATAGCATATACCATCAATGTATATGATATGAGCGATCTATAGCATTCTGTAAGTAATAACAAATTCTCTAATAGTCAAAATTGTATATCTAAACTTACCACGAGTGAGTTAATAATAAAACTTGAACATGATGGCAAATTTGATAAAATAATTGTCATTATGTTGGAAGAAGTCGTATTAAAGTCGTGTTTTATTTGTTAACAAGAAATTTATGATTTAAATGCAATTATTGTTATATATTTAATTGGAAAGTTTAATACATTTTGTGAAAAAATAAATGTACAAGTTCAATTACAAGTTCCAGGCAAAAACTAGAAAAAACTAGAAAGATATTGTTGGCGCTCCCGGTGAACTTGCTAAAGTATTTGAGTTTATTTCAGAGTTTTATGATAATTTGTGAACAACATAGAAGGAGAACAATACCAGTCATTTGTATCCTCTATTTTTATATATATTTTTTCAATTTTTGTTATAATTAAAGATTTTGAAGTAAATTAGAAATGACATTGAATGTTTTTTCTTGTAGGTTATGCTGAATAATTAAGAATGGCCTTTATTCATTGTAAATGTCTCAAATACTGTGCAAACTATGTCATGAAAGAGGAATTTCAAATAAATGTGTATTTTATCTATCGAAAACCTTTAAGCAGCCAAACCATAAATTACTCAAAGAAATTGGTTCGCGTTTTGAGGGTGTAAATTGTATACAAATTTGCCGTAATTGCCTTAAGAGCAATAAAACAGTTTTAGTTGTAATGGCACAAATTTTATGAGAACCACACAGAGTACATGTTTCTTCTTATTTATAGAGGATACACGGAAAAAATTCAATCAGTGCTAAAACCAGAATAAAAAAGTATTTTTACTTTTGTAGAAGAAAAAGTTTTGAATAATTTATTAAGCACGTCGAAAATGAGCTGCAAACACCAACAAACTTCGACGAGTTGCCACCTAAGCAGAATGGCGCTTTCGTGGTCATTTATTAACTTTTCATGAGCTTCGAATGGGGATTTTGAAAGGAAATTTCATTAATCAACACGATTCGTATTTATATAATTTATATAAATAAATACCATAAAACAGAATAATTTTTCAAATGAAATACTCATTTTAAAGTGTATTAAAATATAAAAATTGTATATTTTTTTATTAGCTACTTTTATAAAAATACATTTTATGTGTTTAAAGGTGATTAATGCCGTTTAAAATATTTAAGCAAAAATCTTAAAACATCTTAAATAAATATTTGCTAACCAAATGTAATTTTTTTCTTAATTATTTGTATATAATTTGTAAGCAATATATGACCTGTAATGAGCAAATTGTATCTTACAGTCCATACACTTTGAAATATTTTTTTTAAAAATCTTTTATGATTTATTAAATGTTGCTAAATTATTGTGTAGAAAATCTGATTATGTTGCTTGAGAACAAAAAGAATTTTAAAACAAAAAATAAAACTTGAACTTTTTTTAATAAAATATTTGGCTAAAAGCCAAAATTGTACCAGACAAATTTTTTGATAATACAATGTGTTGTTGTTGTTGTTGTCTAGGCTGCTACAGCAAGTGTCATGGTGTAAGTGTGCATTTTAGATACTCACCTAAGAAAAATACGTATAATTTTTTATTAGAATTCATTTAATAATGGACTGTTGAAAAATATGTGCGTCTACCACATTTGACTTTGAATTTATGCTAAATTCAATCACTATTTATGCTGGCACACATACAATGATGTACGTAATAAGTATTTTTTTAATCATATATTAAGATCTCTTCCAGTTCCTACCAGAAGGCCATGTCTTCTGGCTTAGATCTCAGCTCTCTCCCCTAATGTAAGAAGTGAAGTTTTCACACTGCGGTGAGGAAATCTTGTGTATTCATTCCTAAGAGGTGGTTTTAGTCGTTTAAAACCATTTACACTGTTTTTGTTAAGTTATAGGTTGAGGAGTTGAATATTTTTCGATGTCTGGAATAAACTAAAGTTTTTAACATTATCTTTTACGAACGTAGTAAAACGAAGAGGAAACGGACATATTATGTGCTTGACACCATGTGCAGGAGAGCTTTAAATGATGCCCAAAACCAGTATTTTCTAGTTATGTATATTATACATATATGTAATTTAAGGAGTTTACATATATGTAAGTATGATGATGCCTAGCGGCGGAGTGATTTTGAAAAAAAAAAAAAAATAATGCAAATAAACTAAAGGTGACAAAAACGAGATCTTTAATGTGTCCTCATATACCTTCCTTTTTATATAAATGAAAAATATTCTAAAAAAAGAAATATATATTTTAATTTTCAATAATCTAAAGATCTCCAATTTATCTTCATATAACTTTCATATAATAAAAAATAATAAATTTATGTGATTTTTTTTGCATTTATTTATATTTTTAAATATAGAAATATTTGATGGAGTAAAAGTATTTCTTAGCAACTTTTTTAATAAAATGAATATAATTTTAAAATAAAACAAATTTCTAATTTTCTCAATTAAAACTTTAGCAAAGAAGTACAATTTTAATTAAAAATATTCTCAACAATTTTCCAACTTCCAACAATTCTTGACTGACTTTCCATGCCTGCTTAGTTTCCTACTAATTTGCTTCGTAGCGTAATTTGAAGTTTTGCATGTCAACGTTGAGAAAAGGAGCCAAGGCGGTGCCTTGAAAAGGGCAAAAATATTTGCCACTCATTTAAAAAACTCATCAACTTAAAATGTGGGTGCATTAAACACGAGAATAAAATTAAAATAATATAAAATAAATGAACAAATTTGCATTCAGGCCAACAAAAAAGGAATTGAATCACAAAAATTAGGTGAAGCCATAACAACTCATTTTCGACTCCTGCAATCAGGCAAAAGTAATCAGACCGTAATGACTAACTTTATTTCTAAGGCAGTTAAGTACGGCACACATTTTCTTGGCTTATCTGATAGATTTGCTATAGGTTTTTAATTGCTTTTATATTACAATTTTTTAATTATTCACTTTTGTTGCTGGTAGGAAATTGCATGTGTAAAATGCATCAAAAGTCAAAATAAGTAAGTGAAAGTAAATATTTATTAAATTAAAAATTTGCATATAATCAAGTTTAAGACAAGTTAACTTAACCAGTAGCGATGCATAAGTGCATAAGTGCAGAAGTGAAAGTAAAATCAAAGTGAATTTTTACAATGACCTGCCCTAAGCTGGTGTACGGCTCATGCAAGTAGCAAGTCAGCAAAACAACAAAATAGCAAAATACGACGGACCCGGGCACATGCACAGGCTCAGGCTCAGGTACTCGCACGGTCCCAACATGTGTTGCGGGCAATTGTAATATCAATTATGTCAAGTATACGTCAAGGGTAACGCACGCTTTTGTAAACTTTTCCTTTCCCTACACATTTTTTATTCTCGTTTATTAAGCAGCTTAATTTTGAAACAGTAAATGAAAATTGTGCACACAAATGGCAAGGGACATGTGGAGGGAAGGCTGAGGAAAAAGAATTAAGCCATGTAAAAGTGTAATTAAAATGTAATTTCGCTTATCTTCGCTTCGAAAGCAAGAATACAAAATTTTAAAAAATTACTGAACAATCTTTTTATAATTTACTTAAGTCCTTAAGCCATGTTTTGACTTCGTTTCAAAATTTCTTTAGTGAATTATTGAATGAAAAACGTTTTTAATCGAATTTTTTACTAATAAAAAAGCATACAATTGAATTTATTATTTAAAATTACACAATTTTCAGTGTGATGGAATATAAATCTAGATTGAAGGCTTAATAAATTCGTTCCTCCGTGCTTTAGTTAATT